CGGGGGTGCACGTTCATTTGCTAAGTAAACATCATGAGCCGTTGGCGTAAATTACAACTGTGTGAGGTGGAAAATAGGAAACATACCTGCACTGTGCACCAAGATGCTTTACACCGGATGTAGCGATAGGACACCTTTCTTGAGTGAGGGAGGTGGGGGGGAATGAACGGTTTTTCCAGCCTTGGTTGATTCTCGCCCCTTAAAGTGTTTGCCTCATAAAAACTTTCAGTGTGAGGAAACTTGATTGAATAGCCACATCCTGGCTCCAGCTGAGATCCACTGACGGTCGTTTGTGAAGCAGTGCCGTCAAATCTAACGCTGTTCTCTCAGCTGCTGCCGCCGAGATCGAATGATTTAGACGCTGTTATCTGAAAGAGAAAGAGTTTTATAATGTTGCATCAACATCGCCAGATTCAGAGATCTCCTAAAAGAATGACAGGAGGAGGAGCTGTGTTTGAATCCGCTTCATGAAGAACATTGTAGAGCTAAAAATCACCTTCAGGGATAAAGTGAAACCCCTTTCAGGTCTATAAATAGAGTGTGTTGGTTTGCAGGTCGCTTCTTTAACGGTTCAGCGCTGCGGCCAGATGTCCCACGAGGGCTTTAATGGCATGTTGCAGAGAAGGTTTCTGCAGTAACCTTGAACGCTGCGCACTTCTCTAACCTTCTCTGTAGATATTAATTCAGGGCTCCTACATGTGCTGACTTTGCATAAATTCTGCAGATATCTTAAATCCTGCACGCATACTGATTCTCTGCTCTCTCGTGTTGTCAGCACATCGACCAGATCATGAGCTCTCATGGGAAGCAGATCATGCAGGCCGTGACCCTCATCCTGGAGGCGGAGCACAGTATAGAGGTCAAAGAGCAGGTGAGACCCCCCCACCCCCCTCCACCCTCCCCCTCATCTGCTTCATGCTTAATGATGGTTTTCATGCAGAATTCATCCTGCAGCTGCATTGCAGAGTTAACATTCTGTTGATATTATCAGTCTGTCTGCTCCTGGTCTGTCTTCCTCCTGCCTCCAGGGATGTTGTTCTATGGAAACAGATCAGACAGAGTCAGATAAAAACAGTGACGTCACTCTCTTTTGGTCTCCAACAGACGCTGTGCATCCTCGCCAACATCGCAGACGGCAACACAGCAAAGGAACTCATCATGACCAATGACGACATGCTCCAGAAAGTCAAATACTACATGGTAGGACTTTATAGAACCAAACTGTTCAGATTCTCTGCTGCCTCCTTTTCCCTTCTCACATCTTGTCTTCATATAAACCGATTCTCATAGAAGCCGAGGATGCAGTATGTCGAACATACCAGAGACAACTCTTTTAGTGTTAGGACATCTTGTGTGAGCGTTTCTTTTGTTCTGCTTTCCTCGCTTGTAATGTTTTTTTTTGACTCTTCCGTTCCTGCAGGGGCATTCGAATGTGAAACTGCAGCTCGCCGCCACGTTCTGCATCTCTAACCTAATCTGGAACGAGGAGGATGGTAAGAGACAAGCACGTCTGTTAAAGGAGGAGTAAAGAAGGGTTGGGGTGAAGAAAGAGGAATGTGTCAAAGTAGGAATAAAATCAGGAGCTTTGCTTGAGTTTAGGAATTATTGCCAGCTCAATAATTTGATGCACGTTAGTCACAGAAGTCAGTTGGAGATTTTTCTACGACCAAAGTGTGACCCCCCCCCCCCTTCCTCTTTAAAATACTGAAACCACAAAAGTCTTCGTGTGCGGTGGTTTGCGTCATCTTCTTGATTGTAGCTGCAACGTTGGCTGAGTTAGCATTACAACTAGCAGGTCGCTAACGAGGCATTTCTTCTCAAAGATAAAACACTTTTATACTAAGTTTGGCGCTCTGAACAACAGACCTCTTTCATTCAAGCACAAACAAAGAATGATTCTCCTCACCTCTTTATTTTGTCTGCAGGTTCTCAGGAGCGTCAGGACAAGCTGAGGGAGATGGGCTTTGTGGACATCCTGCACAAACTCACCCAGGCCTCCGACCCCAACCTCAGCGACAGGTGGGCAAGAAAAGCAAATTATTAAACACAAACTCCTCATCAGACAGTTTCACCTGTACCGACCCGAATATATCAGACGACCCCGATAATAAAACGACCCGGATTATAGACTACTGACTATAAGAGGCCCCTGATTATAAAACGACCCGGATCGAAGTCGACCCAGGTTTTAAAAATGACGATCGTCTGTTGAGTTCTCATCTCCACACACCTCTCCTCTCCTCTCCAGGCAGCGACATGCCCCCTCTCGATCTCTTTCCTGTACGTGTCAACACATTCCCCGTTTTCAAATTCTCACTCCACCTGCAGAGCGTCTGCAGGGTAGAGAGAAGGCGCAGATCGTCTTGCTAGTTGATCGATCTTAGATGTTGCTCTTCTACAAATAAAACGCCGTATTGATAACCACCTTACTTGTCTGTTAGCGTGAGCTACTTTTGAGCCACTTTGCTGCTTTGCTCTGACACTCGGGCCAACACGTTGCACTGACGGTGTGTCTTACTCTCTCAGGGCGAAGACGGCGATGCAGCAGTACCTAGCGTGACGACAGAGGACGGAGCTCCTCGACTGCCAGCCTCACTAACAATTGTCGGGAGGAAACCTGCTGCTGGTCCATTTGATTCTTGTTTTGTTGCACAAAGACACCTTTTTTTTTTTGTTTTGTTTTCTCTCTTTGGACCCGTGGCTGGCCTCCCCTCACCTCTCCCTCACCTCCAACTAGCACCACCTCAACAGTTCTGCTCACCTGTTGGGAAATCAACGGTTAGGAGGGGTTCTTTAATTTTTCTTTTCAACAATGAAGTGAATTCTTTCCTTTTTGGGACTTTGTGATTTTCAAACTTTCTTTTTTTTTTTTTTTTTGGAGTGCAGCAGCTGGAAACAGGCGCCTCCGTCTCGGTGCTTTTGGACTCCTAAATGGAGGAGATTCTGGTCTCAGAGAACCTGACTGCGAGGGTTTGTCACACGAGCAGGGCTGTTGGACATTTCCCAGTTTTATTTTTTTTTAAATTCTTAATTAATATTACTATTAATATTTCCTTAAGGCGTCGCAAAGCAAGGACACATTTGGAGCAACTAAAACGGACTGCCTATTTTGAAATTTTGGGTGTTTCTTTTTTTTGTGGCTACATACCTCGTAAATATATAAATATATATAAATATAAACATAAATATCTATTTTTGGATTCTTATTTTTGCCCCTGAACCTCTGTTTGTTTTCATTCACTCCCTCTGATCCACGTTTCTCTGCACTCTGAGGAGAATCCGCCGCGGTCCCATTCACGGTCCGTGGAGGTGAAGTAGAATAAGAAATGTAACGCTCCTTCCTGTTCAGTTTTTTGTTTTCTTCACCGCTGTGGTTCTGCGTGCACTGAAGCCTTCACTTCACTCCTGTCTGACATCCTTATAATCCCAATGGGAAAATGTAGTTCCAGAGTGCTGCCTCTGACCTGCCAGTTACTAATTAACAGGCCCGAGTACACAGAACACAGATAAGAGGATGCATGTGTCCTCACACCTCGTTGAATATCCGCTGCTGCTGTTCCTGCACTCGCTGCAGCCCCCTCCGCCTTCTGTCTGTGTGTGTCAAAAGGGATAAATGAGAGCTCCTATTTTCTCTCTGATGATGTGTTTTGAGAAGCCTGCGAGGACGAGAGTGCATGTAAGAAAAAAAAAAAAGAAGAATCATGTGAGTGTGGCCCCTGGAGGGTGAGGCACTGAGTGCATCCGCATCAGCAGCGGCTGCAGCAGAATCCGGCCCTGATTTGTGTTTCATCCTTTTGATCTTATAATTTCCCATCAGGATATTTCTAAAGTGTTGTTCCCTGACATTTGACACCGTACTGAAACGCTGATAGAATGAATGTTACCGTTGAAAAATATATGCAGACCTAAAGAAGAATTGCTTCTGTGTTGTGTCTTATTGCTCTCTGTCTGGTTTTGCTTTAAATAAGAGTGGAGGAGTGCTTGATTCTCATCTCATACTTTAATTAATTCTTTCTATCGTCTTAAGGGATGCTTGATTTAAGTTTCATGCACGACCCTGGTTCTCTGAATATGCAACACAAGCCAAGATATTTCCAAATTTAAATGCAAAATGCAAAAGAAATCAGTATAAAAAGAAGTTTGCAGCTGTTTCTTAATCCAAGCGAAGAGCAACTCCAAAAAACAACACGCCTCTGCGTCATCATACAATGTGAAAAAATATTTTTAAAGTGTATTCATTCATTTTAAATGCTGCAACTTCACGTGTTTCTTGCAGTTCACGGCAAGTAATTTCTGCTGCTTGCATCTGCAGTTTTCAAAATAGGTTGACAAACGTCTTTTTTTTTTTTGTGTTTGAAAGCAGATGAAATATTACCTCTGGCATTTACAAGAGTCTTGGACAAGACTTGAAGTATCTTTGGAGCAGTGCTCAGGGTTTTTAAGAGAGATTTTGGTGTTTTAAAATTTAAAACAAAAATATGTAACACAGAAAACAGATCAAAGCATCAATAGACCCACAGCTCATGTGGTCTGTAAGGTGAAATTATTGTTTTCATCAATGGAATCTGGTGGCTTTAAAGATTGTTATGTAGATTCTGATTCTAGAAAAATCCTTTATGAAATGTTGACACACACTTCAAGGTCACATATCCTCCTCCTCTTCAACCAGTGTAAATAAGTCTCCTAGCTCCCCAAAACATGCTCGTTTTCTTCTAAATCCACTCTGATCCATGTCGCTATGTCCTATTGTTTACGGTGAGAAGGCAGACTCAGAGGGCAGAACAAACACCTAGCTGTGGGAGTGTCACCCACCTGGGGGAGGGGTTACTGCCCTTTGTGATGTCGTGAAGGGAAAATCTCCAAACGGCCTGTTTGAGAACACATTTTCTGAAAAGTGGAGCAGGCAGAAGACGGAGAGGATGGACCATTATCTATATGCAAATTTGTGGGTGACACAAGAAAAGGTGAATGTCTCCAATGAGTAGCACAGGAGTCTGAGCTCTTATAAAACAACACTTCTTTATTGTCATACATTTTGTAATCCTGGTAAAGTTTTTATGTAACAGCAGTTGTTAATAAAACACGTCTGACCCCAGCAGCCTCCGACAGGGCGCTTTGTCTCATCCCATAGTCCCGTCTGCCCTCGACAGCTCAAAAGCAGGCACATTCCTCATGCAAAAAAGCTGTGACATGCATTTTGAGTTAAACCCCTAATTTTATACCCAAGATCCCACCCGCGCACCCACCCACCCACCTAAAGTTAACCAACGAGATCAGAGCTCCACAGCTGTCAACTGGAGTTCTACTCGTTATCTTTGAGAGTGTAAAGAGTCCAGGTTGTCCCGTTACAGAAAATAGAACCCAGAAATCTGACCGTCTATATTACAAGTAACATGGTGCACAAAGCACCTCACCAAAGCGAGAGAGAAAAAAAGAATTTCAGAAGTCCTGAGACCTCCGTAGTGATGCAGCCTAGGTATTGTAGTTTCATGTTAGGCTGTAGTCTTGTACCAGCATAAAGCTCAGTGGTTGGCAAAGGGGGCTGCAGATGATGAAAACTGTGTGCATGTTCAAAAGATGCTTCTTGTGTGTGCTACATAAAATCTCGGAGGGTTTGAATCCTGTTTCTAGTTTAAGCCACGTTTCCACTAAAAGAACAAAGAACCTTATAATCTCAGGGACTGATAATCAAGGAACTTAAAGGTTTCGTCTGCCTTTTGTTTGTGTTTCAAGCTGGTGTAAAATACATACAAAGAAAAGACAAACTCATTGCTGCAGAAAGGAAGTGAAGGCTGTTTTTACTTATTTTTGCACTTCACTTTACAGCATGACTTAGGGTGCACTCACACTAGCCCCGGTTACCCCGTACCGTGTTGAAGGAGGAATGCCCCACCCCCCACTTTACTGACTTTGTGGCTTATTTTGAGTCATGTTAGTCAGATACAGAACACTCAGGGATATCTCCATAATGGAGGCGGGGATCGGTTTTACTTTACGTCCATGCTGTGTACCGTGCAGAAGCACACCTCTTCCAACAGTACCAGGGCCAAGGAAGCGTACCGAGCATGAGCGCAGAACGGAGCACTCACACTACTCAAACGAACTGGACTTTGAGGGTGAAGGGTGCTTTGGCATGGTACGAGTATGGTATGTTGTGAGTGCGTCCGTAATGGCTATCATTGCAGGATTTTGTTTGCAGCATTAACGCTCAACACGGCCCTGAATTTGTCATTTCTCCATCAGTCTCAGGATTATTCCTGCAGACCCCCGGATGTGTCAAAGTAAAACGAACAAAAACAAACCGGCAAATTCAAATAATATCGTGCGCATGACTTTTTTTTGTTTTAACCAAATCTATGCAAATGAAACTGAAAAAGTGACCTCATAGCTGTGAGGCAAAAGAGTTGGCGTACGGTGCTCTTTACACATAGTAAAATTTGGTAATTTACTCAGCTCAAAAAAGCCACAAAGATTTAATTCCCCTAAAGGTTCCTGGTCTCTGTTCTTGTGGTGGAAAAGTGGCTTTAAGATATCAAACGTCCCCTCCCCAGCCTGTTTCTGTCTGACGTCCCAGACACGCAAAATATTTCCTCATTGCTTCCAAAAATAAATAAAAATACAGTCTAAATAAATAAATAAATAAATAATTTAGATCAAAGGTGCAAGAGTTCTCTGCAGGTGACACTAATGGCTTCCTGTGTAAAGTTTTGTTCCAAATGCTTTCCTGTAGAGAACAGGAGAACGGCCGTGGTGAAGCCTCATGTCTTAATGCGGAGAAGGCACGAATGGCTGGATGGCTAAAGCTCAGGAGGGATGTGGGAGGTGATGTGTTACAATCTGATTGGCTGGTTGTAAACAGTCATGATGGTGACAAACAGATAAATATGGGTGTTGATTATGTTTTGAGAGTTTCCCCGAACTTTTTTTCTTGCTTTTGTCTTTGGTACACGACCCAGCAGTTAGCTCAGACTTCAAGGGTCCACACTCAAACTGAAGCGCTTCTGCTCGCTAACATCCTCAGACTCATTACAGGGGAAGAACATGTAGACGAGTTGAACAGTTTTTTGTGGAACGAGAGCGATGTAAATGACTGAAAAGATGGATCCATGTCCGGCTGAGTGTTTGCCTCCACCACCCAAGAGGCAGAAAATCTAAAAAAAAAAAAAAAATAATCCCATGATGAAGCCTTCCAGGTGAGGGTGTTCTGATGTGACTAGTTTTTAATTCTGAGTCCGAGAGCAGCAGCATCTCGACCTCTCCGACTTCAGTAAAGACATGTTTTTTTTTTTTTTTTCCAGCAGAGATATGAGAGTGTGTACCTGCCCTGTAAAAAAAGAGGAGACTAACTTGTGTTGGATTCAGACGGTGAAGTTGTTTGGAGCTCCACAGATGAGCTGAAACCAGTTTAAAAGATGTTCTGGTTTCCATGTTGCTACAGGGAGCAACTGATGCTACTGAAGTTGGTACTGAGTGCTGCTGTAGCTGCAGTGAAACAGTCGAGGAAAACTCTCCTTCACACTGATTTGCTGGCAGCTTGTGTCGAGTCTCGGCCTCACAGGTGTGCTTCCGGTCACCTGTTTCTCCTTTTTCAGCCCGATGAGCCACCTCCTTGTTTGTTTCTGCTTGGTTTTCATTTCATGCAGACGCCATTCTCCCTGATCTGATCTCCGCTTTTATCCCCTGCTTCTCCTTCGTCACCTTTTTACGTTTGCTCAGTTTAACCCGCTCATAATGCCGGTTCCTCTTCGTCGATGAAACTGATGTGCTCCGTGGAGGACCGCCCCTCCTCCTCCACCGCTCGTCCCCACTCTTGCATCTCCAGCTCCTGTGGGAGACTGACCCCTCTTGCCTCCCTGTAGCGCAACTGTGACTTACACCAAGGTGGAGTCTGGGTGTCTGCCTGCCTCGTCCTCGAAGAGTCCAAAGACACAGGCAGGGAGAGGGTGGAGGGGTGGAAGGGGGCGGCTGGAGGGGAGACGAGAGAGACAGTTGGGGACGGCTTCAGGCGAAAATCTCCAGGAGAGGATGTGAGGGATGGGGGAGCTGAGCAGTGGGTGGACTGGGTAGGAGGAGGCGTGTCCTGGGAGGGCGGCGGAGGTTGGAGGCCTCGGCTGGTGCAGCTGCCTGGTCGGGACAGGTGGGGGCCTTGGCAGCGGGAGAGAGACGAAGAGGAGGAGAGAGACATGGAGAAGGAGAGAGACGGTGAAGGAGTGCGAGAAACCAGAGGAGGCTGGTCCAGCAGAGGGGGCAGACACGTCCCGTTGCTGGGGGAGACGTTGGGGACGGGGGATCCTTCAGGAAGTCTGTCGTCAGGTGAGGGAACGGTGGAGGGGAAGCTTGGAGGTTTGGATGGGGGCGGCGGGGGTGAAGGAGAATTAAGCCTTTGTGGTGAATGAGGAGTGGGCAGAAGGCATCCAGGCAGATCCTTCCCCTCTGTGTCCCCACTGTCCAACAGGGACTGAGTGTCAGGTCTCTGCAGGGGACAAGGTGTGGCAGGGGCGGCACCATCAGGCAGGTGCTCGTGGATAACTGGCTGGCACTGCTGGGAGGAGGGGTTAAATTTGGCGTCATGGTCATCAGGATTGGCTGCGAAGTTGAGGTTTGGAGGAGGGGCTTAAGGAGGCGTGTCATTTCCTGCAGCTCCTGACTGAGCGTGCAGACTTGTTTGGAGAGACTGTTCATCTATGGAGCAGAGACACACACACACACACACACACACACACACACACACACACACACACACACACACACACACACACACACACACACACACACACACACACACACACACACACACACACACACACACACACACACACACACACACACACACACACACACACACACACACACACACACACACACACACACACACACACACACACACACACAGCAAAGGTCACAACAAGACAAAGGTCAATCCATGCAAATAGGCTATTGACTGTCTTATTGACTGTTTTATTGACTGTCTTATTCCTAAACAAATCCCGAGCATTCAGGACCAGAATCTAAAGTTAGAAGGAGGACATACTGGCTGCTGCATTGTTGTCAGAGAAGCCAGCACTTCAACATAGCATGTTTCTTTAATGTCTGATCATATAGTAAGGTCACTCTATTAGAGTTCGTAAGATTGATAAGAGAATAACGGACACAGAAACAGATATCACCATCATCATATTTAAACACTCACCTCTTCGGTCAGTTTCAACACGCTCTGCTTGATCTCAGAGTGATCCCGAATCGCTGCACACAACAAACAAACACACATCCATGTTAATCCTCACAGAGAGAACCTATATACTACTTTGTGTGTATGTGTACATTTTCTGTACTTGTGTGTGTGTGTGTGTCCAAACTACTTTTTTAACCACGGAGAAAAACTAGAGGTCTGAACACACTGATTCAAACTTTGCGGCAATTTAAGACTGCAATTGAAAAATATTTCCTGTTGAAACAAGATCCTTGAAACAACATTTTAATTCAGATTTGATGGTCGGACCTTTTTTCAAACAGAAAGATGCAGAAAATACTTCATCCTTCCATGTTGTCTGTTCTTGTCCGTTTAACTCCTATTCCTATCCTGTGTTGTTTAAGTTATTGCCTTGTGAAGCATTGAGTCTGCACGTTTGTATCGCAGGCGTTGACGTTGAGTTGCAGTGGTTACCATGGTTACCGCGGTATGGGGAGGGCGGCGCTGCAGGAGACATGCTGGGACTGAACTCAAACTTCTGCGATGAGGTGCAGTTGCTCTCCGTTTCGATGCCGTCCACGAATCTATGCGGGGAGAAAAGGGGGATTAAAAAGTAAGAAGAGGAAACACGAGGAGAAGAATATTAATCGGAGGGAAGCAGGAAAATTGTAAGTGCACTAATTACAGTGTGTGTTTGTGTTTACATTCAAACATAAAACCCTGGTCTGTCAGGAGGTTTGTTCACACTCGGCTGCACAGCAGACAGGGTGTCATGAATCTGTGCGCACACACACGTTCTCTCTCCATGTGCTCACATCACCCGATAGTGTGAAACCCAGACACCTCCACAGACACCGTGTGATCCACCTGCAGCTCTGTACCCGCTGTACCTGCACACTTTGAACTCCTCCATCTTCCTGCTCATTGGTCATACAGTGAGTGTGTGTTTTAATACCTGGGGCTGAGTTCAGGTGGAGCGCAGCTGAAGCTGACCACGGGAATCTGCAGAGTGGTGGGGCGGGAATGTTCGGAGGGAGCGCGGAAAGGTCTGGGAGGGAGGAGAGGGGAACGCAGGGGCGAGCTGAGCCCCCTGCTGAGACGCAGCGGGGAGCGAGGAGCCCGGGACACGGAGTTCTGATCCTCATCGCCCTCCTCGTCCTCACGGATGGAGGGCAGCTTCTTCACCAGGCCACCGTTACTCTCCCAGTCCCCCTGAAGGAAAGAGGGAGACGTGTTGAATATAACATGAACACGATGAGGCTTCACACATGTTGGTTTTGGCAGCAGCACAGAGGTCAGAAACGATCTGCTGTTAGAAGAAGAGTGTAGCTACAGAAATGCACCAGCAGGGGGCAGACAGACACAAGAGTCTGTATCTTTTCTCCCATTGAATATTTGATGTCCCGTGCTCACATCACAGCTCAACAGCCACTCCATTCACAGAAATGTGTTTACGACTTCCCTTCATAAATTATCAAACTGATGTTTTTGCAGAGTCTCATTTTTTTATTTATTTTTTACACGATTTGGAACATTGTTTTGGATATCTGAAGAGAGGATTTTGGTTTCCAGAGGTCGAGCTGTGCCTGAGAGAGAACAGTCTGCTCTTGGTGCAGAGGAAAAGTCCAACATATTTACTCTCTTTTCACTCTTGCATCATGTTTCATAGCCTGCGTGCAGCCGTGCAATGTATGAAATAGAAATATAAAAAAATGCAAACCTTAGCTTGAATTCGCCTCTTGCTGGATTGAGAGTAGATTTTATTCCTTGTGTGTATTGTTTATGGTTTTAAAACCTCAGGGGATAAGACAATTCTCAGTCTTATAGAGGAGTTATTATCATTATTAGTGGATTTCAAACCCCTCTCTGCATAACATCTGCAATGTTAGCCAGAGATGAGCATGCTTTTGTCGGGGGGGGGCAAAAACAACAATGTTTAGAGTTCCAAATAGCCGTCGTTCTGTTTTGCTGTTAACAACATGTCAAGAATGAAATATTTCTCATTCATAAATAAGTGAGGAAGAAGTGAGCACGCTCAGAGAAGCAGCACAAAACATAGCAATGAAAAGTGTTCCAGAGCGGAGCGGCTGTCAACGCGCGTCCCTGCAGTCCTGCGACTTTAAGAAGGAGACGGCGACAATAACAGCAACTACTCATGAAGGAGTCAACAGCCTGAACTTTTACTGTCGCCCTCGGGAGATTGAACCCGGTGATGAAAAGTACGAGACAAAATCAGTACTCCATTTAGAGTGAGCACGGTTCAGTCTCCGTCTTTGCCCGGCTGCAACAATAAATCTGTTCCGCTTTATTCAATGCGGACACCCCTGCACACACACACGCACACACACGCACACACACACACACACACGCACGCACACACCCCTGCAATCACCCCCCCCCCCATCATCCTCCCCCCTGCTTATGAGTTAAATAATTTAGTCTGACTTCGGTGTTGATGCTGGGTCGCTGAAACTTCCAGAAAGGATCCGCTAAACAAAACAGGACGCTCGTCGTGTCTGAAGGAGGACGTGCACACTGCACACAGCTGAGATCACATGTACGCTGCTGAGTTCAAAATAAATGTGTTGATTCCCTTCAAAACTGAAGTGGATGTGCGTTTTGCAAAGAGTGAGTTGGAGGGACTTTTCTGTCTTGAGTCCTAATTCACAGATGTGTTTTTGACGAGCAACCAAAATAAGTTTTCAGGTATTTTCTTAAATGTCTCCACGGCTCTATCACACCGCAGGTCCATGTATGACCCGGGAAGTGTATTCACTCACCTGCAGAAGAAGGCACCAGGTCTTTATTAACGACATCCTCAGTTTGATCAGTATCAGAATGATCAGTTTATACGAGACCTGGAGTCAGGGTTTGATAGCTTGTATGTGAGGATATTTTGCACGTTGCAATTATAAACAAAGTCAAAATAATTTTGCATATCCTGATAATCTCCCAGAGCAGGTGGTGAAATAAATCGAGCCTTGTGTGCCTCGGATTGTTTCTGTTTTTGTTCGAAACAAGAGTGTTTGTTTATTTTTTGACCTATTGGAAAGTGTTGAGTCCATTTATTTCTTTAAAGGCTTTATATGCGATTTTTTCATCCAGCAGATGTCGCCCTTGAGCACCAGCATGAAACCAAAACAACTGGCGGTGCAATGTTGTGTCAGCATGCTAATGCTAGTGATCTTTATTAGGCTCGTATCTTCACACTGCATGTAAATTTACCCAAAATCACTGTGATCTAGAAACACAGTTAAGCAGTGAGTACAGTATGTTATTCTTCTTTTCTCTAGTCCCACAACTTTTATACACGAGGGGAGAAGTCAGCCGGCCGTCCCGGCGATATAAACAAACTGAAGATAAGACTCGGAAAACTCGGGAAACATCACAGACAGTGGGACTCGTTGTCGACAGTCATGACTCACAGAGTTATTTTCAGAGGATATACTTGATTTCTATTACATTTAAGTGTGAAAAATCACATATTCTGCCTTTAAAATGCTCCTTTTTTCTGAAAATACAGCATTTCAGCAGTTGAATTGTAGCTTCTGCCATCTTGTGGCGTTTATATGTTACTACACATTACAGTGTTAGCTGAGAACACACAGTTACCTGCAGCACCTCGTGGTGATTCTCGAGTCTATCGAGGCCATAAGCAAAAACTGATTGTATTTCATGCCTTTTTGTTTTTACACAATATGAAAGCCATCTGGAATGTAGCACCCTTGTCCCCCCCCCCCCCATGGGCTTTATTTGTGACCAGCCTGTAGTTGTTGTTGTTGTAGCCTACGACTTTGTCTTTAAAATATTAAAGACACAGCTTTTATTTCATCATCGGCTTCTATTTGAGGAAAAACAGGATATTTAACTTGTGTGCAGGAACACAATTAGGTCATAAACTCATTAAAATCACACCAATCTAGCTCCTGTGTTGTAGCTTCAGGCCAGAGATAAACTAGCAAAGAAATAGTGAGCATGATTGTTGCCTGTTGTGTCTGGAGGGTCGGCTGTCCACGTTCTCAAAAATTAACACTATGGAAGGTTGTAAGATGCAGTATGCACGTGAACAGTAGGGGCGCTGTAACGAAGCTCCACCCTCATTAAGTCTTTGTGCATCCATATTGAGTCCACGTTGGTGTAATAGGTGTTCCAGTCTGTGATTTCACATTGCGTTTTGTGGAAGTGGGAGAGAGTACAGCGTGTAAACGTCCTGTACTCCACATCAAAAAAGCTTACGACGGTTAAGTTCCATTTTATAAATCAATGTGGAAACCTGCAAAGCTAAAAGAAAGCAACCCAACTCATATGCAACTCATATGCACGGGGAAAATGTTGGAGAAATGTAGTGTGGACGGTGCAGAAAGTGTGTTTGTCCACCCGTCATCAGCCGTGATCCCAGAATTAATAAAGTAACCTCCTCGAGTATCGCTACACACAGCCTGAGTAAGTGCTAATGCATCTCCCAGTATGTCAACAATTATTTTCATGACTTTGTTAAGGTTATGAAGAAAGTGAACGTTGATGTTTCAGTTCTCTGAATAATGAAAAGAGCAACGTGGGAGTGAAAAGAAGTCTTCCTGCGTTTGCATTTTATTGAATAGGAAATGACATTTGGTTCGACTTTACTTCAGAGTCACACACATTCATTACTTCTTCAAAAACAACAGCTTTCTCCTGCACCTCCCTCACAATAACAGCATCATCCTGCTCTAACATGGAGCGACTGCAGTGAGTAATGAATGTTTTTCATATCTCATCATGCAGACAAGCCAACGCCCCTCCACTTCCCCTTTCCACTCTCCCTTTAATCAACTCACGCTCCTTCTCCTCTCCTCCCTCCATCCCTGCGTGCTCAGCAAACTCACTCTCTCTCTCTCTCTCCTCCTCCACCTCCCTCACTCTGCCCCCCTCTCCTCCCCTCCTCACACCCCCTCCCGTGCCACCGTAATGTATTTTTAGCTCTCTTGTTCTAATCTTAGCTCGCAGCTCTGGAGGAACCAAGGAGCGCTGTGCGATGTGGGGGCGTGATAAGTGTGCTCTTGCCGCGTGTCTGCACGTGCTCGGCTGTGTGTGAATGTGTGGGTGTGCTGAAGTTGTGTGAAAATGTGCGTGCAGACATAAAAGTGCAGCAAAGCATGTAAGCGGGTATATGTGAGGAGTCTGAGCTTGCAAGGACAAACATGCACAAAGTGCTCTTTTTCTTCTGTGTGTGTGTGTGTGTGTGTGTGTGTGTGTGTGTGTGTGTGTGTGTGTGTGCGCGCGCACATGTACAGTATGTACAGGTGACAGCAATATGCTCTATTCCCTGTTGTGTTTCTGTTGCAGCAAACGATTGCAGAGGACGAAACGTGCTGTAACATGCTCTTGTTTCTGCAGAAGAGCTCTGTGCAGTACCCATTGCATCGTTTCCCCAACGGCTCCTGGGTCACAGAGTTTGCCTGCAGCCTGTGAATCAGCAGGGATGGACTTGGAAAGTATGACCATCACGGATCTTTTGTTTTCTCATCATTTTCTGACAAAACTGTCTGCCTGTGTCCTGAATCTTTTCCACATTCGGTTTCTTCTTTTTTCAGTACTTTCTTTCTCTCTCTCTCTCTCTCTCTCTCCTCCCGAAGAGTTCTCAAAGTTTTTCAATGATGTAGCTGCTTTGAGAATATTTTGTTTCAGTCAAGTTCCCACTGAAATATGTAAACTATTCTTAGCAGAAAATACAGAAATGCTGCATAACAGCACTGCATTACCGGTGTCTAAATAACTAAACAACAACTCTGCAACTTAAAAAACAGTGCAGAAATGGGTTTAACATTTGCATCACATACTCTTTATTAATTTGACTTTTTTATGTATTGTCAGCTTTTTTTTATGCAACAAAACAGTTGTCACTGTTTGTTGAGTGCAAACCTGTTTTATTTTTGCACAATTATTCAATGGATTTATGAATGACTGATTTCTAACTATTCTAAAATATTTAAATGGCCCACTACAGTTCTCCACACTACCTCTAGAGGTGCTAGTAAGCCATTTTGAGAAACTGCTCTTTATCATTTGTAGTTTTGGTCACGTCTTCAGTGGTCGACATGCTTCTCATGTTGCTATGAACATTATCATTCATCCTTTGAGATTGCCTCTGAAATAAATGTTTACTGAACAGGGAGGCTGCAGATACCTGCAGGCGTGTATTTCCATGTTCCTGCAGCATTGTCTAACATACATGCATATGCAAACACACTCTCCTGGGCTGCTGGTACCAGAAGGGTTTTGCATACATAAGCAGGGATGGACATCTGCAGCCCGACCTGAGATATGGGCAGCAGCAGCTCTTGAATCTGGAATCACTCACTCGTCCTCCTGATGCTGCTGCAGACACACACTCATATGTGCACGCGTTTGCACATTAGTACCCCACTCACACTCTGCAGAAAACGTGCCGTGCCTCAGAGAAACAAACGGTACTGCAGTGGAGAAGGAGAATTGAGGAAGAGCACAACAGAAGTATAGCCAGAGTCCCCCTCCCCTCCATATCTCCTCCTCCTCTCCTCGGCTGGCTGAGCTATTTATATCCAGCAGGATCCAATCTTAGCAGCAGCTGCGGGGAACTCAGCCAGTCAGGGACAGCCCGTACTTCCCTCCTGCTCTATTTTTAGAAACAGGACAGCTTCAAACAGCAACACTGAGCTATTCTCGTCCCTGTGTTTTCTCCCTGTGCTGCTGCTGCACCAGCCAGCGGCGTAGGCTGTGTGTTTGTGTGTTCAGAAAGAAAAAAAGCACTTCAAGGCTAGAGTTGTCACGCACGGATCTGTGCGTGAATTTTAAAGCAGCGATGGAGAGGTCATGCAACCCTTTTATACAGCAGAGGAGGTGCTCACCGTACGAGGTCGGCACCTCCTCTGGCGATTCCATTAGCACCAAATACATTTTCATTTTTTGATTTGCACTTTCACACTCTGCACAGCTTGTGAGTGATGTGGTGGGTTGGTTACGGTGCAGAAGGAAAGTATGCATGAGGTGTTAGGACTGTATGTGGAAGGCACAAACACTGCCTTCATGACTCAAACATGGCTTTTTAGGGTATGTATGGTAAGGTATGGTATGATATGGTAAGGTTTGGTATGGTATGGTATGGTATGGTATGGTATGGTATGGTAAGGTTTGGTTTGGTTTGGTTTGGTATGGTATGGTATGGTTTGGTATGGTATGGTATGGTATGGTATAGTATGGGAAGGTTTGGTATGGTATGGTATGGTATGGTATGGTATGGTATGGTATGGTATCACTGTGTGTACTCACATCCGCTCCGTGTCCCTCTCTCAGGTTGTATGTGAGGTCGTGTTGAATCTCGCTGATGAACTTCTGGGCGTACTCCGGGTAGAGTCTGAGGACCTCCCTGAGGCCCTTCAGGCTGATGTACTGCAGGTCGCAGTACGTCAGCGCCTTCACGTTGGCGTTGGTCTTTATCACCTGCTCCTTCGTCAGGTAGTCCGAGCCAATCAGATCTCCTTTACCTGAGGGGGAGCAGAAACAAACGTCAGACAAACACACAGACACATGATTACCTTAGAAGCAGTAATTCTGTTTGTTTTCTGCTCCGGAGGGAATTAGCGGAGGCAGCTAAATAATGAAACCACACGAACGCAGATCAAGGTGCTGATCATTAAAGACGGAGGATCAAAGCAGTACACCTGTAACGTCTTTTTAACAAAGACAGGTAGGAGAACGTGTTGGACGTATGTTTAATCCCCCTGGAGATTGACTCGATGTTTTATAAGCAGATACTTTCTCCACAAAGAACAAAGGTAAAATCCTCAAAGTGAGCCTGATGCACGTTGTGATTGGTGGTTGATAAAAAAAGAACTAAAAGGTCGTATGTATCTGAGTTTTGTGTCATAGCAGGATAATAAGTCAGAAGGAGATCACCTTGGCCTGTGAAAACTGTAATTTTTAGCCAGCTAGCTCCCTTCTAGATCTCTCAACTGCTGCAGAACAGTTTTTTCCCAGTGATTCAAATACTGTAGGTCCTGTATGTTATATCTGTTGACTCTGCTGTTTAATTAGAGACATATCCAAAATAAGAAATCTTGACAGAGCAAGAAAGATGAGGTCAGAGAAATTACCACAGAACTGGAAAATAGCACAGGTTTGACAAAGCTAAACACAATGTTTGATGTTTAAATTACAAAAATAAAACTCATTCAGAGCGAATGCTGACACAGGCTTCATCCATCCACCCAGAGCGAGGGTGTGTTAGGAGCAGATTAATCATGTCTTAATTCACTCTGCTGACCAGATAATTAAAAACATCACATACTCTACAACATGGCTCTTGTTCCTCTTAATAGAATCTGTCATGTTTTTGAGGATAAACATGCAGACAGATCTTTACACCACCTGTTTAAATGTTTCAAGGATGGGAAATCAGCTTTTCTTCTTGCATATAATTTAAAAGATTTGCTCTCCAGCCATCGATCCATTGATCCACCCGTCCGTTAATCCATTCATCCGTGCATCCATCAGTGCATCCCTCCATCCATCCATCCATCCGTGCATCCATCCATCATCCATCCCTCCATCCACCCATCCATCCATCAATCCATCCATCCATCCATCCATCAATCCATCCATCCATCCATCTGTGCATCCATCCATCCATCCATCCATCCATCCATCTGTGCATCCATCCATCCATCCATAAATCCATCCGTCCATCCATCCATCCATCCATCCATCAATCTATCCATCAATCCATCCATCCATCTGTGCATCCATCCATCAATCTATCATCCATCCATCTGTGCATCCATCCCATCTGTGCATCCATCCAACCATCCATCCATCAATCCGTCCATCCATCCATCAGTCTGTCCATCCATCCATCCATCCGTCCGTGCATTTCATGCATCCATCCATCTGTCCATCCAACCATCCATCCATGCATTCATCCATCCATCCATCCATGCATCCATCCATCTGTCCATCCGTCCATCAATCCATCAATCCATCCATCCATGCATCCATCCGTTGTCGTCCACCTATCTGTGCATGTCTATCGACTGGATCCGTAATGCTTGTGGGTGAAAAGTCTCTGTTTTCAGAGGAAATGCATGTCAACAGTTTTCAAAAGTTTGCACACAGGAACCTGTTTTCAAGCTACTAAATCACTTTTTTCATGTAAACAGAGAGCCAGAACACAACAAAAGGTTCCTGTTTTCAGCTGAAACTGTTGTCTTGTAATCAGGGCCTTTTGTTTGTTATGTATACAGTATCCTTACAGTGCTTTTTTTAGAGTGTGAAGTGCACAGCAAGATGTCAAAAGGAAAATGGAAATACATTATAGTCTGTGAGGGGCATCATTAATTTTTGAGGCTCTTGACAGCCACAGCCCCCCCCCCCTGCAGTACTGGTAAAAAAAGGGAAAAAGTCTAACAAAAATGGCTTCAGGGCTGCAGAGCCTCACAGCTGAGGGATAGAAAGAGGGGGCTGCAGAAAAACAAGCAGAGATGAAGGAGGGGAGGAGGAAATGGAGGGCAGTGTAGAACAGGGACCTACGATGGGTGATGGAGTGTGGACGAAGGTACGAAATAGGAAATAGGACGAAATAGGTAGTGTGAGAAATACTGAAGAAAACAGGGGGATGAGGGAATTAAAGGGGGAGGCTGAAATCTGGCGGAGAATGATTGGGGGGAAACCCAGTTAGGGTTAGTCACTTTCTCTGTGAACATGGTACTAGCTTATTAGCAAGCTAATGAATTAGCGTCTTGCAAGGAAAGCATTTTGTAATGACCGAACATTTGCCAATCCCTCATTCTTCTGAAGCTCCGCCTTCTAATCCAAATATGGTCACATCTGTCTCTCACAAGAAAGAAAAGAAAAGAAAACACGATGATTTTACCAAAATGCCAAACCAAAGGCATCAGAACTGAAGACAAAACACAAACACAAAGAGTGTGACAACCACAGAAACAGGAAGTGAGGTCAAACAGCTCAAAGGAACGGTAACAAAGGTCAGTGTGTGATGTCATAAGGTGGATATTACTTTGGACTCGTCAGCTGAGCTGTCTGAGAGTGAATTGAAGTGAATTGAGACATTCAAAGATGCAGCAGTGTCCTTCTTTTACATCACTGTGACGACAGGGAGACTATCTACGGGTAGCCTAAAGGGACAAAATAGAATTCTGAGCAGCCCTGATTTTAACCCAAACCATGTTCTTTTCTTTAACCTGAGAGTATTAGCCTGGATCCCTTTCTCCCTCCCGTCAGTGCCTGCACTTGATTGAGCTCTATGGGCTCTTCTTCACACGCTCCGTCTGTCTCTCTATCTTTTTCCCATCAGTCACACTTCTGCTCCTCCACTTCTTCTTCTCATTACCACATCCTACCCCCCTCCTCTCTCCGCCCCAGAGCAGCTCAGATTGTCTTGACGGCTGGAATCAGAGCCAGGAACAACCGCAGCGGTGGGGAAAGCTTTTTATTGCTTAAAATGTTAAACCGAGCAGGAGATGAGAACTTGAGAGTGACATTTAGGAGTGTGTATTTGTCTTTCATCAGTCTGTCGGACGAGTGTGTGGAAACTGACGAGAACAGGGAACAAAAAAACTCAAGACAGAAGCTCCTTTTATCAAAGTCTGATATTATAAGCCTTTTGCATTCAACACCAATTGACCCTTGTTGGCTCTCTGATTGGTCCACTGACCCACCAGTCGAAAAACTCCCTCTCATAGCAACTGACCTTTGGACATGCACCATTGGGTTTGGTGTATTGCTCAAGGGCATATCTGCAGTGCTCAGGAAGTGAACTGGCACCTCTCCAGCTACCAGACCAATGTCCAGACTTGGTCCTCACCAGGACAACTGGCCAACCTCTGGTTCACAACCAAGGTCCCAGCAGACTGAGCTACTGAGGACCTAAGGCTTGCAAAAGTGTCAATCAGTTTATCTATCTATCTATTTATCTATTTATTTATTTTGTGTTCCTGAAATCCTACCGGTTTTCTTCACACATCACTGTTTTTAAATTCTAAATACAAATTCAGGTTTAGACACATAAAGCTATATTTGCAACCTAATGGCTGCACCTTTATGAAGTCAAATCTGCTGTTCTCATCCATACATGGTGACAGATACGGCGGCTTGGCTCTGTGAGTGGTTCAATGCTATAAAAGGTCAATTATTTCCTCAACATAATCTAATTCAATGTCACACGTTCCTCCATATATTACCCAGATTTACCGTGATGGTCGCAGTAAAGGTCAGTTTAATAGTGTGACATCACTGGACCTAATGACAGTATTTAGTCTTAGTGTTGGTTAATCCAACAGCTGCTTGAGTCTTCTCTGTAAGAGCAACATGTTACATTTGTCATGCATGGATCCAAATAACCAACATCAGTATTGAGTCAGGGGAAGGAAACATGCAGAAATATGTGATGCATTTATGCTAAAGATGTTCCAAACTCACACTGTTCAAGATAAAAGCGCACAGCCAGCGCTTTTCTGCCCATAAAAATTGGTGGGCACGGGCCTAAACCTGTATTCATAATCAAAGTCTGATGTAAGAGTTATGAATTGGTATACAGCACATAATTACAGAAATAAAACCCTTATATGGTCGGCTCTGGTGATTTGAAACCAACGGTGATGGAGCAAACTACTTAAGACTTCTATAATAGAGTTTGAAATGTTACGTCAGCATCGACACCGGATAAATCCTGGAACAACACCTCTGGGTAAAAAGGCCAGGATGATTTGTGAGGACTCTCCTGGTCTCTGCTGGATCTTCACTCCAGCACTGATAAGCGAGTTGCTTTAATAATGTAAAATCTATTCATTATTAACACCAGCACGGCACCACATCCCTCTGTTGGTGTGTGCAAGTGTGTCATGATCTGGATCAAATGTGGGCCGGGTGCTTGGCATTTGAAGAAAAATCCACTGCACACACACACACATTCGGATCGACACACACACACACACTTGCACACACACACACACAGGTTCAGACAATTAATTCAATACATCCTGACCTTTTCAGATAATGACTTTAAAGACGTATGTATCTGTCGTTGTACACACAAATCCTCCCCGGTCTGCCCGTCTGTCACTTCACACTCACACCTCAGAGCGCTCAGCCCAGTTTGCAGGATTAGTGTTGCAGAAGCTTTGAAGCACATCCAGAGGAAATTAGATTTCAGCCTGTGAGACGTCCAACTAAAGGAATTATTCTAAGTTGTTTGCTAAGGTGTAACATCGTGTCCGACCACACCGTTTACATTTTGTTAAATGTTTTCTCTCGTGTTGTTTTTTTTTTGATTTTTACTACCAAACACAAATTGAATCTGTGAAGCTTCACAGGGATGAGCTTCTGATGCTTCCTGAGCCACGAAGAGAGAAGACATATAATGTTTACTCTGTAGGCACTCTCAGCAAATCTCATTTTGTCCAATATTTATGCCCAATAAATTCCTTCATGACCTTCCCAAAGTGCTCGATGTCGGTACACTAGGAACGTAAACATGATAGACATTATTGCTGCTAAACATCAGCATGTTTACAGTCATTATCAGCACCACAACAACAGCATTAACTCAAACCCTGCACTGCCTCGGCCTTAGGGTCCACTTACACAGGACCGGTGACCCCGTACTGTTCTGAAGCACAATTGTTGCCCCCTCACCATTCCCCGCTGGCCTGCACTCTCACTGCTCCAGGACTAACCGGGTCTGAGCATCGTTACCTCTTGAACATAAAGTTATACAACACATGCATGGCTTTACATAATTACGAAGCGTGCTTAGTGACAGACAGACAGACGTGCAGTCGAGTCTACTTTACTGACATGTTAGTCATAAACAGACACAACACTGGGATTTCTCCTGAACGAAGGCTGTCCATGTTGTGTGCCTGTGCATGAACTGTACCATGTCGAAGCACACCTCTTCCAACAGTACCAGGGTCAAGGAAGTGTACAGAGCTTGAGCATAGATCGGAGCATTCACACTAGTCAAACGAACTGGACTTTTGGGGTGAAGCGTGCTTAGGCGCGGTACGGACTGCCTAGTCTAGTCAACACAAGATCCACAGATTATGGCAGGATCCCCTGACATGGTTTCCTGCTTCTCTGAACAAAATGTTACAAAAACTTGGTGAGACTTTCCCAGCCGACATATCAGAGCAAAGCATGGAGCAAAGTTGTAGACCCGGAAGCTCAATCAAATTTCCCTGCGACTGCAAACCGAGGAAAGTGGCATAGGGGAGGAGGCCGAAAGAGGCAGCCGCTCACAAGAAGTAAACATACAGTAAAAAGTGAGATGGGTTTGTTTTCCATTCAGAGGATAGCAGCTGGAACTTCCCACAGAATAGAGATAAACAAAAGGAAATAAAAGCCTCCCCTTTAATAACAGAGTGATATGGAGCCAAGGAAGTGTGACCTGCATTAAGGTAAAAGGAGAATAAAATGATGTAATGTGATCATGGTTGTTCTTGGCGCTGTTGGAAACAGTCGTGCGGAGCATGACTCCGGTGTTTCCTCCCACTCTCTGTCTGTAAATGAGCCCTGTTTAATATAAGACTTCATGAAACACGGATCCGCCTTCACATCTCGAGAGAGCAACGTGAGGGAGGACATATGATCACACCATGCTGCACACACACACACACACACACACACACACACACACACACACACACACACACACACACACACACACACACACACACACACACACACACACACACACACACACACACACACACACACACACACACACACACAATCTGCACAGCCAACCTAGGTACTTGCCGTTACAGGAACCGATCTCAGTTTGTACATGTTAAAGATCAAGTCTTCACACCAAACTAAGTCATGGAGTTCCACTAGGTTCTGTGCTTGGACCCATTCTTTTCACCTCATAAATGCTTCTCTCACGTAACACATGTTGGTGCGTCCCCACGAAAAGAGGTTATTGTCCTCCAAGCGGACAGCCCGGATTCGGGTCCAGCCTGTGGCTCCTTTCCGACGTGTCATTACCCACTTTCTCTCTCTGCCTCATTTCGGATTATATCCTGTCTCTCTAATAAAGGCCCAAAAACATAAAATTGACATAGTTTTTACAGACTTACAACTGCTACAGATGTCGTAAAAAAAATCTTAAAAAGTGGATCTGGAGGAAATTACCAACCCTGCCTTTATCTCTTGGATGGATTGTTCACTGATTGATACTGCAAATCTGCCATGATTTAGTTTGATGTTGAGCAGCAAAACAGACGTTTATCGGTAAAAACATTTGTAGGAACTGCTTCACATTTGCCACAGGAAACTATAAAGTAGTCAAGATATTGTGGGTCTGTGATTTGCAGAATGTAAACATCGCCTGTTGCGCTCTGCAGCTTCGTCTGGGTCTCATTTATCCGCTCTATCTGCAGTTCAAACACGAAAACACCTTCATTCATCAAATCACCTTCTTCTCCGTCTTTACTCTCCCATATGTGAGCGCTGATAGCTTGCCTTCCTACATCTCTATTCACAGGCGATTGAGGGATTATTCTGTATCGCTCACAGGCTTGACACAGTGGCAAGTCATGACTCTGTGTGTGCGTGTGTCTGTGTGTGTCGAGCACGGTGATAACTCTTCAAAGCAGCGGAGCACAAACAAAAGCTCTTTATCAGCCCTCTGACAGCTCTGCCCTCCCTCTTGTTTGACTGATGCACGCACGTTTTTCCTATTGTCCTTTCCTTCTTCCTCCTTTCCTCTGTACTTCTTCATTAAACTTAATCTCCGCTCCAGCCCAGATCAAGTCTCTCTTCAGGTCTGATTACATGAGACCAAGCTCTAAATAAAATTATTCCAACTGTAATCACTGAACTGAGAGCTGAGCTGTCTCTTCTTCTTCTTCTTTTTCTCTCTGGAGAGCGCACTTCATTAACAGTATTTGATATGATATCAAACACACACACACACACACACACACACACACACACACACACCCGTCCTCCTGGTTCTTATCGGAGCGCTCTTCAAATTAACAGTCCTCACCTTCATTAACGTTGCAGCTCAGTGTCCCACGGATCATCATCATCTCATATCCTCTCATTACGGCTCCGTTTGACGGCTAAACGGCTGTCAAAGCTACAGGGACACGGTGTGCTTTTTATCCAATTCTGTATCACGAGTTGACTCAAAAGCTCCCTCCAGCATCTCATTCTGTTGTCTCAAAGCCAACATACCTGTCTTCTTAAAAGCTCTGTTTGGCCACTGTTTCATTGTCAGGTTTTCTAGGCCTCTTTAAATGTGTGTTGGTGACTGTGTCTGCAGAGACCTGCCCCCCCCCCCGGTTTTAACAATTGGTTGACTCAGGAAGTCTCTGGGCGGGAAGCTGGTGTGTTTTCCTCAGCCAATGACAGCGCGCAGGTGAGTTTGGGAGTGGATAAATTCAGTGATTGGATGCCAACCAACCAGCGAATATTGCTAACGCGGATGTTACAGGAAGGAGACTTCGGGGCAGACCCAGAATACGCTGGAGGGATTATATATCCCGTCTAGCCTGAGAACGCTTCGGAATCCCCCAGGAGGAGCAGGTTGCAGGATTTTACACTTCGGCATCTGCTTCATTTTTCAAACCGGAGGTTGCCGCTTGGCACTGAGGCATAAAAACAAGCACGAGGTCTCTTCTTTTACATGCACTCTTAAATATTCACATATTTCTTCAACTGATTAAATTGTGTCAATTTGCAGCTTCTATTCATCACAGAGGGATTTGTGACTCACCCAGTATGGCCAGCACAGTGTTGTCCTTCAGGACCTCCATGGACCCCGAGCAGACGAAGTAGATGGCCTGCAGGGCGTCTCCCTGCCGGATGAGGAACTCGCCCGGAGCGCAGAAGGAGGTTCTGATGATGAGGGAGAGCGAGCGCAGGCAGCCCCGGCTGGCCGACTCGAACAGAGGCAGCTGGAGCAGCTCCTTGTTCAGGTGCATTGCGATGTCTGCCCTCAGCTCGTCTGGGAAGTCCTTCAGGAGCTGTGCAGAGAGGGGGTAGAATATGTTCTCTTTAACACTATAATTCATCAGCGAAAAAATAAATCAACAAACATGATACTCGAGTGGAGAATCGATGGTTACACTCTCCATAAACAGTCCGTCATTCAAACACTCACCTCACTGACGTCGATCCCGTTGTTGACGGACCAGGTGGTCTGGAAACACTCCAGCATGCGTTGCTCCAGAGCTTTAGGTAGCCGGTGGACTCTGATGAAGTCCTTCAGGTCTTTGGTGCGGGTGTGATAGAGCGAGCGGCGAGAGTACATCCTCTGGATGATCGCCGTCACGTTTCCAAACACCACGGCGTGCATCAGTGCTGCACAAAGAGGACAAATATATTTAGATTATATGTAGATAATGATGAACTAAAGGTCCAGAGCTGACAGATTATTACTGGAGGAGTGTGAAGGAGATCAGCTTAAAGTACAGACACCCTCAGAGATCTTTGTGCTGTGATGAAACACTTCTGATTCATGATGTCCTTTTCTGTGTGGACTGCAGATCTCTCTCTAACTTTCATGCTAGTCTCTGCGCTTCCACAGTCCACTGACGGTCAATATTTCAGGGTGAGCGCTCCTTCAGACACGGTCACCGGCTGCACAGTTTTGGGGAAACTCTGGTGTTAAAATGTCTTAAACGTCTTTTAGTTCCAGCTGAAGGGCGAGAGCGGCTTCAGCGCGGCTTTCCACCAGAGACACTTAAACTCTTACGAGATTAATGGCTTTATCCTCCTCCTCTCTTGACTATTCTCTTTGTTCTGCTTCACTTTCCCAGAGTTCATGGACGACTCCACACACACTGAGGTTAAACTGTTATCAAGAAAAGTAATGTATCAATTCCACATTTTTCTTCTGGTCAACAAATCCCCAAAAAAAGGTTTAAACCTGTCTTGCATTTCTTTCTAGTCTGTGAGAGTGACATTAAGGAACCCATTGCCTGATCGGACTGCATATCTACACATGATACTCTTTAAACAGTTATTTCCACGTCCTGATAAGAAGTAAACAAATGCAGAGTTGAGTTCTGAAACCAGACAACCGAACTAATGATGCGATAAATGGAGAGTTTTGCATTTAATTGTCAGATTGCATGAACAGTTTTATTTATTCATTTTGTAACAGAGAGAGCAAAACATGCTCAGCTCGGCTTGTTGATGTCCCATTTGCACCACGTAAAGAGCTAAGTGAGTTTTTCAGACTGTGAGGGGAAAGAGGAAACACTGATATGCATTTAGAATAGAGAAACTGAGGGACGAATGAGAAATGTTGAAGCACACACACACACACACACACACACACACACACACACACACACACACACACACACACACACACACACACACACACACACACACACACACACACACACACACACACACACACACACTTCTCACCTCCTATGAGCATGGTGCAGATGGAGAAGATCTTCTCGGAGTCCGTGTTGGCCGACACATTTCCAAACCCCACGCTGGTCAGACTGCTCAGAGCGAAGTACAGCGAGGTGACGTAGCTGCTCCTCATCGAGGGTCCTCCACCGAGCATCCCGAAACCTCCTCCCCCGCTGCCCGCCCCCGACACGGCCTCCCCTCCCGACACGTTCCCGTAATGTTGGCTGGAGTTCCAGGAGCTCTGCGCGGTGACCTCTGACCCCGACACGTTCCACTGGCTGCTGTTGGCGGAGATGCTGCTGACTGTGGAGGACACCAGGGTGGTGAGGGGGGACAGGAAGTACGGGGAGCCTAGGCGCTTGGCCAGCTCATGGAGCCAACCTGAGACAGAGAGAGAGAGAGAGAACAATCAATCAGAGAGGCAGCTGAGTTTAACGACAGGATATAACAAGATACATTTATCGTTTTATGATAACTCATTATCCCACAAAACACAAGCGTTACATTTTGACCTCCAGCTCTTATAAAAGTCCTGCTGAAGCCAGTAATTGGCTGATGCTCGAAATCTCACCGACAAACAAATCTCGACAAAAAGATTTTAGCTCTGTTGCTGCGGCATTCACACTTTGCAAAAAAAACGTTCAAACTGTGACTTGCTTCTTCTTCTTCAGTATCTACAGTACGAATTATGTGTGAGCTGCAAGCTGCCGCCACAGGAGCTGCACTGGACTGTGGGGTTCACAACGTGGATGAAACTTATTCTGCTTTGCAAATTCAGTGAATCCAGGCTTAAAATGCAAATCGTCCTGTCTAAAACGGTTTTTAAAAAATCACATTTAAACTGCTCCCACAAACGGAGAAATCATTAATAAGGAATATAAATCAAGTCCTCTGCTCTACAGAGCGCAAGAGAGGAAAGTATGAAGAGTAGGAAGATGAATTATTTGAAAAAAAAATTGTATTTGAGTGAATGAGTGAGAGGCCGAGCTGAGCTCCTGACAGCAGAACTCCACGAATCCAAGAAAGACTGCAAGAGAGGGAATATGAATAATACAACATGGATGCATCCATTCATTGATCTCTGCCATCACACACTCACAGGCAAGCTGCTTTGACCTTGTGTGTGCGTGTGTGAGTGTGCGTGTGTGTGACAGTGAGCGCAACCTGCCAGCATAAATAAGCAGAGGTGTCAGTCGAGCAGAGTTCCTCTCGGCAGCTAAACCAACAACATTAGAGGATTTAACACCTGAGTAGTTTCCTAATTACTTTGTCATTAGCAGAACTTAACCTCCGCACCCCCAGAGGAAATGTTGTGGACCTGACTTAGACTTTATATCGGATGCACGGCTATGCCTAATGCTCAAAGTAAATAAATAAATAAAACAAGAGTGCTGTTTTTCTAAAGGCAAAGGGAACGTGCAGACATTACTGATGTTGTTTTCAGAGCGCGCAGTAATGAAGTATGAATGATGAGATAAAGGAGTGTGCGCCTTCATTGTTTCTGTTCATTACATGTAAATAAATCAGTGTGAGGGTGTCTGGGCTCAGCCTTTAGAGAGAGGTTGAGGAGCTCGGACATCCAGCGGGAGCTCAGAGTAGAGCCGCTGCCCCTTCACATTGAAAGGAGCCAGTTGAGGTGGATCTGATCTGGTCCAACTGGGAGGAGACCCAGAGGTAGACCCAGAGCTGGATGGAGGGATTGTATATCCCTTCTGGCTGGGGCTGGGAACGCCTTCGAATCCTCCAGGAGGAGCTAGAAACTTTGCTGGGGAGAGGGACACCTGGGGCAACTTGCTTAGCCTGCTGCCACCGCGACCCGGCCCGGGGAAGTTTGAGCTCATGTTAGCGGTTTGTGTTTATGTGCAGGCTGTCCTACATCAGTTTAGAGCATGACCCATTTTTAGCCCTTTGTTTACGTGATGGGTCCTCATAACGGAGGATGTTACCAGCTGTGATGTCACTAAGGTCCAGAAATGAGAGGAGAAAACAATATAACATCATTCATGACTGGTATTAAACAGTAACAAAATATTAGACATTATGACAGCTTCAATAAGGATTGAAGTCAGGATTTGTTGAGCAGGTAGTTTGGATTTTATGGTGGGTACTTCAAAGGTGTTGAGCACTGATGCCATACTTATTCATAGAAAATGAAGCTACTCCTTGTGATGTATGGATGTACATTTTGTCTCACTCAAAGCGCAGAAGTATTCATCCATCGAGTGTTAGGGAGGCGGCTCACAGAGTTTCAGAGGAGCCTCTCTGTCGCTGTCCGAGGTGCTGATTTCTCCTCTGTCGAAAAGAGTTCACTGCACCCTTTGTGAGCTGTCCGTGGTCCTGAACTCCTGTCTTCAACTGTGTCGCAACATCGGTCAGATCTTTAAGATTTATTCATGGGCATGTTGTGCCTTTAATGGAGAGACAGGACAGTGGATAGAGTTGGAAATCAGGGAGAGAGCGGGGAATGACATGCGGGAAAGGAGCCACAGGTGGGATGCGAACCTGGGCCGCCCGCGTGGAGGACCACAGCCTCTGTACATGGGGCGCGCCAACCACTGCGCCCCCAGCGCCCCATTTTTTGATTAAATGCTAAATGGACTTGAGCTTGTGTAGTGCTGTTCTAGTCTTCAAACTTGTCCTTGTTTTAATCCATAACATGTCTCCCAAGAGTTCAATGATCATTTAGAAGGTAAATAATGAGGGGGAACAATCGTGCCTTATTTAGATTAAGAACATCTGTTAACATTATGTTTTACATTACCTTAGGGATGCATTTAAGAATCTTACTGAAACAGTACTGATATGATGGGTTATGTTTTGACCTTTCCATTGACTCCAATAAAAACAGCACCAACGTCTGGCTCCAGTGCAGAATCCAGATCACTTCCTGACTCTTACTTTTTAAGTTCTAGTGTTGTCAATAATCCCCAGGTGAGGATGTTAAAAACCAACAATGAATTGATCTTTTTATTTGACCAAAGTAGACACAAATATGGCTTTGAGGTCTTCTTCCTCTGAGCTCACATCAAATATTAACAACACATAAATGAGTCACAGCGCTGTTTGTGGTGACATTAAGATGAAACGGCCCTGCGAGTTTATTCCAGGTCAAAACATTTGTCCTCCCTGTGCCATGAGAAAACTACACAAATATCAATCCACAGCCAAAAATAGCCCCCACGGTTTACTCTCTACAAACTCATTTCCTAAGCAGCTCGGACATTGTGTAAATAAAAAACCATACGTTAGATGATGACTGCTGCATGAGTCTACAGGTGAGGCTACTACGGCTCCACTGCCCTTGAATCATTGATAGCCCTGCAGATATGAAACTGTACATCTCCCACGTATCAGCCAATAGAGTGACGGACAGGCGGAGCGGTGAAGCAGATGTCAGACCTGTGTTTGTGTCACAGAAAGGTCAGCCTGCAGACAGATCTTCGGTGTCTCCTGGACTCTCCCTGTCCGCCTGAACAGTAAATCAAGGAGCTGCAGCCATGAATTAACTGCAGTGAGCCTGTCTGTCTTTGTGTGGTTTGCAGAAAGGATAATGATCGGTAGGCTGGTACAATCGATGAGGGAGAGAGAGAGAGAGAGAGAGAGAGAGAGAGAGAGAGAGTGGAGAAGCAACAGGAGCTACGTCTCTAAGCAGTTTAAAACATGCTCCATTTGCATCAACAAGCTTGTGTCAGTGTGTGCTTTTGTGCTGCTCTGACAGAATGAAATAAAAGCAGCAGAAAAAGGGCAGCTCTTCACCACAGGATTAGAGTTAGCTCCCGTGGAACCAGCCGTCTGTTTGTAGGTGCTAACAAATTTATCAGATCGTGTGCCAGGGTTTCATGTCGCCCGCAGGATTCAAGATTCTCCGCTGAGAGACCTTTGTAGGAAAATCGACAAAGCTGAGTCTTATTAAAAGCTCCTGCTGCACACTGAGACATGCAGGGCGGCATTATTCTGACAGACATCGCTCTGCCGAGGTCAGAAATGTGTCATGTAAGGTCTGTGCTTCAACAAGACGAGGTAGGAGAACATGCATAAAAAGTATGGAATGTAAAAATTCACATTAGACTGAAGCAAAAAAAAAAATTACATAAGAAGTAATTTAACGTGCATTAGGGAACCCTTAAATCATTCTCTGAGGACGGAGCTAACTGTATAATTGAGAAGAGCAATAAAGTCTCCAATCTTTTCCAACTGTGACGCAATGGATTTGCTCAATTTACCCAAATGAAATTCTGCCGCCTGGCACTGGAGGGAAATTTAGTGCACACAGAGTGACAGTTAGAAACTCGAGTGAAATCAAAGCTGTGTGTTAAAAGCTCTCCAGTCGGAGAAAATGGACAATAAAAGCTGCTTCAAAAACTAAATTTAGATCTGAGGGGCGCACACTTTCCTGCAAACACCTAAAGGGAATGTTTGATTACACACACAAAAAAAAAAAAATGTGGCAACAAGTCGTGTTATTAAAAACATATCCTAACAGTTGTTTGTCCCAATGTCTGTGTGGAAGACTTATGCTGCATTCATGTGCTCCTTGATAGGATAGGATAAGAAAGACAGTAAAGCTGGCTACAGCCCATGGTGTCACATTTCAAACCCATGAACTCTTCCCCTTCACAGCAGGGCGAGCGGAGGTCATTTGAGCTCAGCTTTCTCGGCCGTACTCGGGTAGACGTGGAACACCTCCAGCGGCGGTGAAGTGCTTTGAGTTCAGGCTGATTGAACAGTAAAGGTAGAGAACACACAGGGAGCCAGGGAGGCGCTGGATTGGTTCTTTTCATCTAGACCTCTCGGCAGTGATAGGTCAGAGTTTATAAAGGATGACAGCAGCGAGAGATGACGGCTGTTTTCAATCCTTTTCAGAGAACATGATTTAATGATAGCTATCGTAGTGTAAAGACTGCTTTAACAAAAAGTGTATGCCAGTTAAAACGACCAACCCTACCTTTACGTTTATGTACTTTCCAACACTGTGTGGATGTAAAGAGTTTTCACCAACCTATATCCCAGGAGCCAGGACTCTCGATCTCCTTGCGGCCGATGAAGTACCAGACGCAGGCCATCCAGTGAGCCAGCAGAGCGAACATGGACATCAGCAGAGTGAGAACCACGGCGCTGTACTGAGAGTACCGCTCCAGCTTCTGCAGCAGCCGCAGCAACCGCAGAAGCCGAACCGTCTTCAGCAGGTGGACTCCAAAATACTGGACACATAGACACACAGCACATCAATCCTCACAAACCTGCAGCAGTTAGGTACAAAGGAACGGGTCTGCAAACGTCATTATGTGCTGAAAGGAATGCAATCTTTTAATCATTTGTAAGCTGACAGTTTAATTCATGCATCTTTTTGCCATTCTTCTGGTGAAATCTAACATTTTCCTACTCCAAATGAGTCTGAATCCTCTTCATCTGCATGGCTGTGAAGTCATTTAGCTGCAGTTTGAATCATCTTTTACGATTCTGAGCATGAAAAACACAAACTAACGAGACCTGCAGAATGTGCAGACAGGCTCTGTGCCATTTGTTTGTTTGAGGAGCATCACTTTGGATGAAATGCGGCTCTGATAAAACTCACAAGGGAGCGTGTGACATTACACATTAATTCTCTCTTTCTGCCAATTTGACTGGTTGCCAACAGTGTGTTAGTGTGCATCGAGAACGCAGGAGTCTGAGCGCAGGAAAGTGAAGACGCCTCTTGTCGCACACACTTTCACTGGTCACATTCTGTTTGCTCTCTTTGTGGATGTAGACACACAGAAAGACACCCGGAGGTGACTCACCACGCTGACGTTGAAAGCATACAGCAGGTCGAAGGGCAGGGCGGCGATGAGGTCAACAAAGAGCCAGGTGGTGACGTAGTGGACGCAGATGGAGCGGGCATCGTACACGACCTGACCCGACGTGCTCACGAAGGTGGTTCGAAAGTTCAGCAAAATGTCTGCAGAGGAGGACAGGGAAGAAGACAATTCAGCCGGAGTCGACGACAAGACAAACGATGAAGAACGAATAACAAAGCTTCATGTTTACATCTTTATCAAAGTGTCTGACCACATTACAGAAAGGATCATTACAGCGATGCACCTTTTCTTTTCAAGAGAGGAAGGGTTTTATTTCAAATGTTATGCAGTGTTCTCTTTAAATCCACCAGACTCCATGCACGCTAAAAGCTATAACTTGACATTACAGAACAACAGAGTGACTGTCCTACCAACGCCTTAATCTGTTGGTCACGTTGCTGCAGGAGCTGGGGATCAAACCCCTGACCTTCCGACTCTACCACTGAGCCACAGCTGCCCCTTCATGAGCATGCTTCAGAAAACATTCTCCAAACACACACACACAAACTCTCTAGGCTTTGTGTGGCAGAGAAAGGAAATAAAAAATGAAATCTTTGTGATTCCTTATCTGTCCCTTCAGGGTCTGTTTTGAAAATGACTTCATTAGTGATCTATTGTTAAGGTTACTTCATGCTGTGGATTCATTTAGTACCTGCAGGTAGATACTGATTTCCAATGTCTTGGTAAAATATGAAACCAAAAGGATTATGAACAGTTAAAGATCCCCTCCAGACACCGGCCATGTTGGTTTGGAAGAACAATATGAGCCTGAAGTTAAATTACCAAGTTTAAAATGATCTAAAGTACATCTATACATCAATACATGATGATAAAACTGTTTAAAAAATTGAATTGCAGGATGAACTATCACTATTTGTGATGTTTGTACACTGGCAGTTTGAAGGTAAAACTTCAGACTGGAAACTTGAGTACTGGATTAAAAGTTTATTCTGCAGCTCTAACGGCTGTATCATTATTCTCAGAGTTAAATATACCCTATCAAAGGGGGTCCACGGAGTCTTGTTTTTGACCCTGACAGGCTCAGATCGTCTGACAACACAACAGAACGGATCCTGACAGAGAGCTTGTTGTCGAGGAGAACAACAATTTAAGAATAAGACAAATGGACAGAGGCACAGGACAAGAACTCCTGTGGTGTGTCGATGTGTTCAAAGTCTTAATAAGAGTCTTTAGGACGTCATTAATACATCTAAAAAGCAACTTATTAACAGGAAGGAAAAGAACAATCTGAAGCCTGGTTGCACTTTTCAATCCGCTCTCGTTCGCTCTGTGGACGTATCGATAAACAGGACGGCCTATTAGTTCTAACAAATGGGATATCGACTGACAGGAGTCGGCCATTAAAGTGCGAGTGGCTCGTCTAATTTCATTGCATAAGTTTATTGATGGAGGGCGTGTGTGCAGACTTTCCCATTAACTTCAATTGTCCACTGAAGAGCATGCTGACAAGTTTCCTTGGCGGGGAACGAGAGGCGTGTCGTTTTGTAGGAAATGAGTTAAATGAGACATAATGGTCACTTTAAAATGGCTCATATCCTTTCACTGCAGTGAATGCATCATTAAGAAACTTCCAACTTCACTTTAGTTATGAGCTATGAACAACTGAGATACAGGCTGACCTAAGAGCCAAGTTTTTCTGGAGTTTATTAAGTCATGAGTACTTATAAAAAAAACCTCGCCTCAAAGAGGAAGCCAGGCGTTTTCAAGCCTTGTCCTTGTTTTTCTTACATGTTTGGTATAAAAAGAGGAAAAAACATTCAAACACTTCACTAGATTGCTTCATCCTACAGCAGTGAAACAGGCTGTAATGGCAGAAACGTAACTGTTGGATCACTGTAGATCCATTAACCTTTTTTTTTGCCTCTAACAGGCTGCAAAGTGGTGCCGTGGTTAGTGCTGTTGCCTATCAGCGAGGAGGTTCCTGGTGTGAATCCCCGTCTGACAGGAGCCTCTCTGTGTGGAGTTTGCATGTTCTCCCCGTGCATGTGTGGGTTCTCTCTGGGTACTCCGGCTTCCTCCCACAGTCTAAAGACATGCTTGTTAGGTTAACTGGTGACTCTAAATTGTCCATAGGTGTGAATGTGAGTGTGGCTGGTTGTCTGTCTCTATATGTCAGAGCTTTGATTGGGTTAGGGTTTGGCTCCAGCCCCCCGTGACCCCAAGTGGAAAAAGTGGTAAGGATAACGGATGGAAGGAAGTTGTCAGGATCCCTACAGAAGACAATGTTTCAGTTTAAGAGTCACATGCTTTTTCAAAACCAACTAAATTTGATAAAATGCATCTTTTAATGGACACCAGACTCCTTTGACAAAAACATTTTAACGTGCAGAACACGTTGAAGGAGTTGCTTGTCTACCCGTGTCTCTGTTGGCTCGACATCATAATCAAAAGAGTGTCATGTAGAGTGACTTTAAAGAACGGTACGTCCTCTTACCTAATATAAACAGGATCTCCACGAGGATGTCACTGACGCTGGGTGGATTCCGGGAGGCGCTGCTGCTCCCTTCGTCCCGCCCCCCTACCACTGTGAAACACACGTTATAGGGCACGGTGACGGCCACGTAAAACGTAGCCAGCAGAATCAGCCAATCCCAGCCGGCCTTGAAGGTCCCGTAGTGGAGGAGGATGAAGCGAGACTTCTGGATGGCTGCGACCTTGTACTCTGGGATCGGAGGTTTCTCTCCAAACATGTTCTGGATTTGAAGACAGGGAAAGAGGGGTTAACTATGCTCTTTATTTGGATCCATCTTTACCCACAATACACACCTGTGAACCAACATAGCTCTTCACAGATCTCTTTCAAGCTACAGGAAAAGTTTTACAAGATGTTGAGAAACTTTTGCAGACTGTCCTAAAATCAGACAAACTTTGTCAGAGATCCTGACAAACTTTGTCTGAGATCCTGAGAAACTCTGCCAGAGATCCTGAGAAACTCTGCCTGAGATCCTGACAAACTCTGCCAGAGATCCTGAGAAACTCTGCCTGAGATCCTGACAAACTTTGTCAGCGATCCTAACAAACTTTGCCAGAGATCCTGAGAAACGTTGCCAGAGATCCTGAGAAACTTTGCCAGAGATCCTGAGAAACTTTGCTAGAGATCCTGACCAAATTTTCCAGAGATCCTGAGAAACTTTGCCAGAGATCCTGAGAAATTGTGCCAGAGACACCGAGAGATACAAAAAGCACTTTTGTCTACTGTAAAACAAAATCAATATTTGCAAAAATCCTCAGTAGAGCCATTTTCATATGACACAATAAAAGTGCTATAAAGTATCAGCATGCTATTCCTTTCATTTGAACTTCAGGTCACAAAAACAGGACAGAAAAAAACACAATTTAGATCAGCCCAAGAAAAATGGAGCGCCAGACTCAAGGTCTGTATCTTCCCGGTTTGGTTCAAGAAACCGACTTGGGAAGTAATTAATCAAAATCCTTTTTTAACTTCTTATTCCACCTTGATAAAAATGTCTTTGAAGAAAGTGGAACTGTCTTCAAAACAGTTTTGTTGATGTTGAAGAAGCTGTCGGGGTTTTAAAGTTTGGATTCCACTTTTATTTGTCCTTCAGGAGAAACACATCGTTTCCCTCTGTGACTTTAACAGATGCAAAAGTAAAACATGATTTGACGAGAGGGAGTCTGGGACCAGTTTGGAAACAAAACATCTTATTTCTCCAAAATAATCTCCTGAAATGTGGAACAATAAACCCTTTACTGTTAACGTAAACTGATGCAGAGGAACTCACATTGTTGATCTTGAGCTTGCTCTTGTCCTGTTTCTGCAGGTGTCCCGACAGGTGATAGAGAACGGCTCTGCTGCGGCGTCGGTTAGCGTTGAATCCTGGAGGCCGAGTGACCTGATGAACCTTCAGACCAGTTTCCTCGTCTGTGGAGGAGAGGACATGATGAGATATAATACAGTCCACAATGCAGAGTCACTATTTAACAACGCTGCCCTGGTACTGAAAGGTGCAACCAGTATGGAAGGAAGCGTCTAAAACCTGCATTCTGAATCATGTCCAGCAGGGGGTGCCTCCAATCGCTGCAAAAATAACTCGTCTTTGAGTAAATGGGTCTAATTTTTTCCCCAGTCAACATTTTCTTAACACTTTATGGTCTCAATCTGTAGTTTCCAGTATTCTTTAATACAACACGATGTTAATTTTAGCACACTTTTGCTGACTTTGACCACGCCTTCTTTGTCCCTCAGTTCCCCCTTCCCCTCCTGCCATCACATTTTACCCGCCACTTCCTGTTTCCTGACAGAGAGCGGCAGACGAGTGAGGTTGTGAAATTTAACACTTGTATGTGCAAGCTAAAAAACAACTAAGTAATTTGTACTGAATACCATATCCGATTAAAGGTCCAATCAGTGAGATGTGTAGAGAGTGAGATGATAAAGTGACCTTACAATATGATCAGACATTAAGGAAACACGCTATGTTGAAGTGCTGGCTTCTCTGACAACAATGCAGCAGCCAGTATGTCCTCCTTCTAACTTTAGATTCTGGTCCTAAATGCTTGGGATTTATTTGGACCAGAGAAGGTAGGCGGTTTTAAGGTACCCCCACACACGGCCGTTTTGGACGCCCCTCGGTTTGCCAGATATGAGAGCAGTTATCAGGTCAAACCAACAGGTGTTGCAGCGATGGAAGCGGGCAAGATAACTGGTTCAGATAGAAATGATTGTACCCGACCTAAAAAGCCTCTGCATGTTTCTAATAAGCTCCACGAGCAGAAATGTGCTCAAGCTAGGATAAATATTGGAGATGCTTTTGAAAAATGGAGAGAGGTTAGAACGCAGAAAGGTTTACAGACCGATACAGAGCTGGCTAAAGACTGAAGCTTCAGTGTCCACTACATGGCAACCTGTGTCAGCATCGACTCTAGAGAGGAGGTGGCGGGGGGAGACAGTTCTCTACAATGTTTAGAATTTGGACTGCAGTACCCATTTTAAACACTAAGTGTCAGATTTACATATTGCTCCTTTAATTCTTATGATGTCGCTTTCTAAGCCTTGAATTGTCCCAGATCAGCCTGGAAGCAGTGCTATGATAATGATTCTGCAGTTTCATGTGAAAACTTGAACACAGAAGCACTAACACAACACAAAAAAACAGCATCTGAGCTTCACACCCTGGCTGTGATGTCGGGGGAAATGCCTCCATGTGAGGACTTCTTTTACCTCAGTGTCGTCATGTTGCCTGACACCAAAGCTTCCTTGACCCCGGAGAGAAACTTGATGGCCAAAATATTCAGGAGGATTAAAAGCATTACCCGTATATCTCAGATCATCTGAAGCCCACAGCTTCAGGAGATTCAAAAACTCTTTGCGAGTTAGTTTTTCATGCTCGATTGGATGACAGTAGAATGGACTTTATTTTAGCCCGCAGCTCCTCCGTGCCATTTTCTTTATTCTGTGTACACATGCTGCTCTAGTCTGTGAGTAAATATTTGATATGATATTGACTTGCCGTCTGCCTTTGTGGCTCTTTATTGACTAAACTAGGAGCTCTTTATGGGGAGTTTCATAATCTGGGCTGAGATCCAGATCTCTATTTACAGAACAGAATCAATAGCAATGGCTGCACATGTTGAAAAAAACATCTCCCTCGAGTCATCCTCTTTAAAAATTACCGAATAAGTGAAAGATTACATCAGGTGAAACCTTGAATGCAAAAGAGGAAAAAAGCACAGATTGATGACACAGGAGCTTAAGAAGATATTTCCATCAAGACAGAAAATCTTTTTCTTCTTCGCTTCATTTCCATTTTACATTTCCTATCATGATTGCTCTTCTGTCTGGCTCTAATATGATGTCATGCTCGGCAAATACCCACCCCTTTAACCGAATCATTTCATTCCCGGCCTGTAAATTTGATTTGTGCTCCGTATTCAGGGCGGCTTCGCTGGAACTGTTCAGCTCTGTCTTTCTCTGCAGCAATGAAAGACGTATTTAGTCTCTTCACTTCAGGAGAGGAAGAAACACTGGGAAAATTAAAGGCCTGCATTCAAAACCTTACTCAAGTTCAATAAGGAAAGTAAGACCACCAAAAACAGCCTTGTTGAAATGGCGAGCAGGCACGACCAATCCTATAAGGCCCTGACGCACCAAACAGACCCCATCGTCGCCTCTCATCTTGGCCAAAAAGTTGCACACACCGCAAAGACTAGAGCCGACGGCCAACCACCACGTACGTTCTGCTCATGCATGAGAGGAAATAACTCTCTGTGCCAGCAGGGGGCGGTAGTCCGTTGTTATGATACGAGAAGACCATTTTCACACCGCTGTCGCTCACCACTCGTTTTATAGGTAGCCTACTAATGGAGAATAATGTCTGATTAAAAGTTGAAAATGGCGCTGGCGTTGTCAGCCCTTGGTCTTTTAGTGGGAAAAAAAGAAGAGGCGGAGGAGACCAATAAGGAGAAACCACACTAATGGGTGAAAGCATGAAAACAAATGAAACCTCCAAACAGCAAATCAAAGAGATTCCTCTCACAGACAGCCGATTCAACAAAAACTAGGGCAGCGGGCTGAACTAGGACCGAAGGCAGACAATCTCCTTGGTGTGTCAGGGCCAGGATAAAAAGTCTCACTCTACCCTGAAAAGAAATGTTGGCATCTCTGCTCTCTGTCTGTTTTTTATGTTAAACTGTGTTCTGACAGTTTAGCAATCAATGTCTCCTCTTTTTAATTTGTCCTCTGTGACAGCAATTCCGGCCTTTTCCCCGCCGTCTCAGTCACTCCACGTCATTCTCAGTAACCCACTCTCTGCTTGGAAAAAGGCGAGTCACGCTGAGTTGAGTGCTAAAGTGAGCCGCTCAGCCATCAGCAGCGTCCCACTGGGCAGCACACGCAGGTAAATGTGATTTTTACGTGTCGATTCACTGTGTTGTAAATGTCACCGTCTTTTCCTCCCTACGTTTTGCTTTTTGTTTGTCACTTTTATTTTTTCCCTCACATCCGGAAGTATTTCATTTGATTAGAAAGCTGCATGTTCTCTGAGTGGATTGTGTCACGTCCACTTTGATTTCTCCCTCTCTCGTCTGCTCTGTGATTTGTGCTCCGCCCCCTGCTGTTTGCACTGCGACCAGATCTTGTTAGCTTCGGTTAAAAAAGCTAATAACTCATGCATGGTGTTAAAAAAAAAAACCCAGCAAGAATATATAAAAAGCAAACTTCAGTCATTAGAGCTGTTTAAGTCGATGAGACATTCAGCCAACCGAGAGAGTCGGCAAGTGGATGGAAAATGGGTAAATTATTTCAAGTAGGAGCTCTTTCCTTCGAGGGAGCACCGCTGGCAGCCACTCTTAAAAAAAAAGAAAACTTTAAACATGCCACTTGATTTAAAGAGTCTTTATTAATGTGCTTCTCTCCGTCTTTCCACACCGACTGTATTCATCTCTTCTCTGAGGTAACTTTCACTATGTGCTTGAAACTGGATTCAGGAGTTTTTGAATGTGTGAAGTAAACCAAGTATTCAATGTTTTCAGGAAGGGCGTGTGCAGGATTTCAAAATGTTTGAAAAGTGATGAAGACATTTACTTGATAGACTGAACAAGAAGCTCAGCTGGTGGACCCATGGTGAGAGTCTCTCTGTAAGCAGGTGGCAAGCCTCAGCTTTTATATTGTGGAGATTTTGTAACAATCAAGACCACAAATCCCATGATACAAAGTCTACAAACTACATCTTTTTGATTGAAAAGAAGACAGGACTTGCCCACTCAGCGTTCTTAATATCAGAGTCAAACCACCATCAGTGGAGCTGGTTTATCTCACCTGTGTCTGGTCCCTGCTCCGGGTCCTGGTCCTTCTTCTTGTCCGAGATGTCTTTGTGGGACACAAGGAACAGAACCACCTCGCCCTTTTCATTCTTTATGGGGACAATGTCCAGAAGACACCAGAACTGTGTACCTGAAGAGAAAACACAAACGAAATCAGAGCATCTTTTCACTCCTGTGTTTGAGGATTGCACGTAAAAAAAAGGATTCTCAGGTGTTGTCTTTGTTCTTCTTTTGGACTGATGTAGATTAATGCAAACATTTCACCTTGGAGAGGAAGGTCCTATGTGGAAGATATGCTGCGTGTGAGTCAGTCGGTGAGACTTATTTCTTTACTTGTGTTTTGGTGCATTTTCTGAAACTGATGATGTCGACAAAACCTGCTTTGACTTAAAAAGAGAGGATCAGAAATGAAATGCATCAAGAGTGAATCCAGGGAAAAGATGAAAGAAGAGCAAAATGGAGGCGCTGACTTCTGTGTGCGTCAGTGAAACCGTTTTTTCTATGTCATTCATTAAAATAAATATTTCCTGACCAGTTGAGATAGTTCTTTTCTCTGAATTTCTTCATGTGTGACTTCACTCTGTGAGTACTCTGAGCCTGCAGCTATGATGAGTTTGTGTTCATTCACAGCTTCTTTAAAAAAGACGCTTCTGCTCTGCTGCCTCTGCCCCCTCAGTATTCCCAAAGAGGAGCTGCAGTGTGCCGTGTGGAGAGGGAGGTTTCTGGATGTATAGATTCCCTTTAAAGCTCCTGGAGGACTCAACTGGGAAGCAGAACACCACAGAGAACATGAAAACATGAGATTCTCCGGGCTGCATTTCCAATGAATCATCCGGGCTCTGGTCATATATGCTGCAACAGCCAAACATGCATCTTTGAAACCATTTTGTTGATATCGTATCGTTAAGGGAAGTGCAGAAAGCATTTTAAAATCAGAGGAATCTGTGAACATGTTTGTTCCAAAACTCTAGATTTAAGGTCAAAATCAACTGTCTGACGAGCAGCTTGGTTTGAGAAGCGTTTTCTTTTTTCTTCAGTAAAAGAATTAATTTATATTTTTGGGTAGCTTTTCAAATATGAAATGAGTTGGTTGTCTCGTTGCTCTCCACACACTATAAAAACTGAACTGTTAAATCGGTCATGATTTGTCGTCATGTGCGGAGTCTCTCACATTTTCAAAATCGTTAATTTACTAGCTGTGTGCTTTTATTTTGAAATAAAGGAAGGCCCTTCCTGTAGAGTGAAGGTTTGGACAGGAAGTTAAGCAAACAGGAAGTGGTTAGGTATCCCAAACTGAGGTCAAACAGCTTAAAGGAACAGTAACAAAGGTCAATGTGTGATGTCATAAGGTGGATATTACTTTGGACTCATCAGCTGAGCTGTCTGTGAAGAGTGAATTGAAGTGAATTGAGACATTCAAAGATGCAGCAGTGTTCTTCTTTTACATCACTGAGACTACAGGGAGACACTGAGGACGACCATCTACAGTGAGCCTGAAGGGACAAAATAGCATGAGATTAGTCGTGATTAACTAGTTAACGCTGACCGCCCTATAGTTTGAATAGTTTGTTACTTTAACTTATTCATGAAGGTTAAGAACAGTGGAGTTGTCCTCATGAACCTGCTGTAAGCGTCAGTTTGTTGTCATTCTGTAAGCACGAGAAATACATTGTGAACAAGTTTGCACTGGACAGTAGCAGTAGTAGACACATAATGAGGCTATAAATCCTCAGTATAATAAGCTTTAGACTAAAGTGAACTGATCTGAGGCATAGTAAAACCACTACAACACACAAAGTGGGATAAAAAGTCCCACTGTGGAGCTCGATGTCACAGAGGAAGAAGATTCATCCAACTGCAGCTGCACAGGCATAAAAGTTTCAGGTCATTTAAAGGTCACATATGATGCAGAATACTCTTCCCCCTGTTTCTCTAACTCTAATATGTGTCTCTAGTCTGTCTACAAACTCCCCAATGATGAGAAAAGTCCATCCTCTCCGTCTTTTGCCTGCTCCACTTTTCAGAAAATGTGTGCTCAAACAGGCTGTTTGGAGATTTTCCCTTCATGACATCACAAAGGGCAGTAACCCCTCCCCCAGGTGGGTGACACTCCCACAGTTAGGTGTTTGTTCTGCCCTCTGAGTCTGCCTTCTCACCGTAAACAATAAGACATGGAGCGAGAAAGCCCGAGACACCCAAGCCCTTCCAGAGAGGGGGCGTGGTCAGACACAGCTCATTTACATTTAAAGGTACAGACACAGAAACAACCTGTTCTGAGCAGGGCTGAAATAGAGGGGTTTATAGACATGATCAAATACAGGATCAGAGTGGATTTAGAACAAGAAACTTCACACACATGTTTTGGGGAACTCTGAGACTTATTTAAACTGGTTGAAGAGGAGGAGGATATGTGACCTTTAAAGACTGTTTAGTTCTTTTCATGGCATCCGTTGACCATTAGAAACTTGTTAAATACTGGATACCTTGTCCCTAAATTAAGGTTATGAATCAATGCCTCCTGCCAACTGCTGAATAAAGGCAGTTAATTCAACCTGTTTTCTGTTACTCATCTGTAATCTCTGATACGTGACTTTGTGTGTCGATGACTTTTTCACTTTACATTGTGTTCCCTCAGGAGATCATGGCTGTAAATAATTCATTCAAACAAGAGGGAGGATCGCATCACTAAAAACATAAACCAATGCTGAGGCTGGTTTGTCCCCTTTTGACTGAAACACAATGGAAACAAAAACAGCTGGAGCACACGCGCACGCGCGCACGCGCACACGCGTGTGCCTGTGTCTTTCTGTGCCTGTTTTGATGTAATGCTGATAAAGTGACAGAGAATATGTTCCTGAGTCTGTTTATTGTGTCTTATTTTGAAATTTTTATTTATTTTATTTTATTTGTCAATTTTATTTCATTCAAATAAAACAATAAAGTTAAGAAAAACAAACAAACAGAATGAACAGAATGAAAAGGAGCAGAAAGAAGATTAATCTTATAACATCTGCCCTTCTTTTACGGAAACATTAATTAAAACAAAACAGAACACTTAATTCAAAAACAATTTAAATTAAATTGGCTGCAGGCAAACACAGCCACTGGCAGCCCCCTTGTAAGTCCTCCTTACCAATTCATTGTGCACAAATTATATCACAATAAATTGTTATTATAGCATCACAAAAAAAAAAAAACAGTATCTCACTGACATATTTCCACATATTTATTCAACAAACTGGGTTTAATTTTTTTTTTTTTTTAAAGATTTATTTTGGGCTTTTTCGCGCCTTTAATTCAGAGACAGTAGATAGAGTCGGAAACCAGGGAGAGAGAGGGGGGAATGACATGCGGAGAGGAGCCACGGGTGGAAGCAAACCCGGGCCTACCGCTCGAGACGAGAGTCTCAATACATGGGACGCGCGCCCTGCCACTGCACCACCAGCGCGCCCCAATTTTTCTTTTAAATATCATGTTTGAGTTTGATTCTTCAGTTTCTCTGTTGAGATTGTTCCATAAACTGATTCCTTTCACAGTAAAACAACGTTCCCTCAATTTGGTTGTGAATCTCGGTTTATTAAAGATCTGTGTTCCTTTTAAATTATAACGGCTTTCCCTTTTTTCAAATTTGTTTTGAATGTTTTTTAGCAATGTTTTCTGATTAGCTTTAAACATAATTTGCTGAATACTGTAATCAACTAATTCATGAAATTTCAACAACTTTAACTGAATGAATCGTTTGATGGATCTCTATACCAACTTCTACTGATGGCTCTTTTTTGCAAAATAAAAATGTAATGGGTGAATGTTTTACAGGCACTTCCCCATACTTTAACACAGTATGTGAGATATGGAAGAATCAATGATTTATATAAAATGTAAAATGCTTTATTATCTAATGAATCCTTAACTTTGTGTACCAGAGCAAGTGCTTTTGATATTTTCATTTTTATATAATTTATATGTGACTTCCAGTTCAAATCTTCATCAATCATGACACCTAAGAACTTAGTTTCCTTTACTCTTTGAATTTCCATACCTTCTACATTAATTGAAGCATCAATGCTTTCCCCTCTATTACTGAATATCATGAAATTTGTTTTTTCAAGATTCAGTGATAATTTATTTATAATAAACCATTCTTTTATTTTCTTCAATTCATTTTTGACCACATCCAACATCTGTGATATGTTATTCCCAGAATAAAATAAGGTGGTATCATCTGCAAACAGAATACACTTGAGCAGTTTGGATACATTCACAAAATCATTGATGTACAAAATAAACAGTTTTGGTCCTAGGACTGACCCCTGAGGTACCCCAAAATGAATGTTGTACAGATCAGATTTTAAATTATTAATCTGAACGAACTGTTTCCTGTTTTCTAAGTAACTTGCTACCCACTGATGTGTCACCCCTCTGATACCGTATTTGCAAAGTTTTTTAAGAAGTGAGGAATGCTCTATGGTGTCAAATGCTTTTTTGAGGTCAACAAAAATGCTTGCTTGTCTATTGCAGTGGATATTTCTTCAGTTAATTCCATAAGTGCCATTGATGTGGAGTGATTGGTCCTAAATCCATACTGACTGCTGCTTAAAATATTATGTTTGTTTATAAATGTGTCCAATCTGGCTGCAAATAATTTCTCCAATATTGTTGAAAACTGTGGAAGCAAGGATACTGGTCTGTAGTTGAAGAAAATATGTTTGTCTCCATTTTTATAAAGTGGAATCACTTTGGCTGTTTTCATCTCATCAGGAAATACTACTGTTGAGAATGACAAATTACCTATGTCTGTTAATGGCTCAATAACCAAATAAATTATATTCTTTACCAATATCATGTCCATATCTTCACAGTCAGTTGATTCTTTACTTGCACAATCTTTTACAATTTTCAGTATTTCATCCTTTTCTACTTTACCAAGAAAAATGCTGTTAACGTTATCTTTTATTGTGTTTCTATCTGCATTATCTTCCATTCTTATATTTTTTGCAAGACAAGGACCTACATTTACAAAGTAATTATTGAACTCATTTATTATTTTGTTTGTGTCATATATGTCTATATCGTCTTTCACAAAGTATTCCGGAAAAGTTGATTTTACTTTATCTTTCTTTACTACACTGTTTATTACCCCCCATGTAGCCTTCATATTGTTTCTATTTTTGTTTAGTTACTCACTACAGTATTCCTTTTTTTGCCTTCTAATTATCCATACTAATTTGTTTTTATATGTCTTATATCTGTTTTCTGCCTCTTTTGTTCTTAATTTTAAAAAACATCTATATAAACAATTTTTTTTCTTGCAGGCATTTTGTAGCCCTTTGGTCATCCATGGTTTGTTAATTGCATTTTTCTTGGTGAAACACCTTGTTTTACAGTTTTTTTTTCATACAACTCTATCAATAATTTCATGAATCAATCAATCAATCAATCAATCAATTTTTATTTGTGGATTCGTCAACTCATAACAAGTGTTATCTCGAAACACTTTACAAAAAGCAGGTAAAATACCTTACTCTTTGTCTGTTAACATTACAAAAGAGCAGGTAAAAAGACCTTACTTATTGCTAAATTAATGAATCATAAGCTGAAATAACATTACGTACATACACCACATTCCATCTCTGTTTTTTTAAGTCATCTTTTAGTGCTTGTATAACTTCTTGTGATCTATTTCTTCTAAAAGTTTATGTAGGGATTTGAATTTTATTACACTTATAGTTAGTATAAACTGTAAAGACAGGTAAATGATCACTTACATCAGTCATTAAGATCCCACTCACAACTATTCCCTCCGTCATATTTCTCAAACTATGCATTGAGTTGATGAATTCACTTGATGTTCTCAGTCCACTAGGATTTTCCATATCAATGTTAAAGTCCCCACATAGAAACACACTCTTATTATAGATACTGTCAAACAACTCCGTTGTTTTGTCTGTAAAGGACAGTACACAGGAGCCTGGTGTTCTATACACACAACTGATCATAATATTTTTGGCTTTTTCATTAATAATTTCCACTGTGACTATTTCCATAATATTGTTTACAACAGTTGTCATATTTCCAACAATTTTACATTTCAAAGTTGAGTTCATATACAGAGCTACCCCTCCACCTTTTTTATTTATTCTATTTGTATAATACAACTCAAATCCATCTATCTGAGCCTCATCCAAATCTCCATTCTTTAACCATGTTTCTGTTACTGCAATTATACTCAAGCTTTTTTAGTATATTCATTCATCAGAAGCTTTGTGCGTTTTCTTGTCTGACTTCCTGTCCGGGTTGTTCTATTCTGTACAGCTGGACCCATGTTACCAGTGGTGCCGTCAAAAATATACTTGGAGCATATTTGAAACAGACGGACCGCAGTGCTCGCTTTGAAAACAGTAGCATTGAGAGTGTCAGGTAACGGCGCCGTAGTGTGCTCTGCGATTACAGACTGCGGCGCGCACAGAGTATGTGGAAGTTGGCGGTAAGTGCAATGACTCCTACATCTGCATCTCAATGTCTGTAAAACAAAAGAGATGCTGATTGACTTTCGCAAAAATCCACCTGACAAAGCACCGACGCTTATTAACAGCACAGCTGTAGAGACAGTGACTCAGTATAAATACCTGGGTACCATTCTTTTTTTTCTTTTTTTTTTAAGATTTATTTTTGGGCTTTTGTGCCTTTAATGCAGAGAGATAGGACAGTGGATAGAGTTGGAAACCAGGGAGAGAGAGGGGGGAATGGCATGCGGAGAGAGGCCACGGGTGGATGCAAACCCGGGCCTTCCGCTCGAGACGACAGCCTCAATACATGGGATGCGCGCCCTAACCATTGCGCCACCAGCGCGCCCCATCTGGGTACCATTCTTGATGAAAAACTGAATTTTGATGCAAACACTGGCGCCTTCTGCTAAAAGGCCAATCAGAGACTGTTCTTCTTGAGAGAGCTAATGATTTTTTATGTTGACAAATCTCTTCTGAAATTGTTTTATTCATCTTTTATTGAGTCCATTTTGGCTTTTGTGATGATCTGCTGGTTTGGTAACCTCAGCATCGTTAACAAAAACAGAAATATTGTTAAACTTTGCAGAAAGATAGTTGGAGTTGACTTGAATGATCTTGGACATTTTTTTTCAAGTAAGAGCCACTCGAAAGGCAAAGGCCATCTTGGAAGACCCTCAGCACCCCCTGTTTAGACTTCTGCCGACAGGGCGGAGGTTCACTTATGTAAGGAGGTCGAATTCAAATAGATACCTGAGGTCGTTTGTTCCATCAGCTGTTGGGTTTTTAAATAAGCTGTAGGCATTGTTGCCTGTACTCTTTTACTATGGACTTTTGGTCTTTTGTCCTTATCTCACTCAAGTCCATCATGGTGATATCCATGGTAGTTATGTTTTATATGTAGGCTATGAATTTATGTCATTGTGCTGTTTTTATGGATGTATTGAATGTATGGACCTCTGTTGCAAACCAAATTGCCCCTCAGGGACAATAAAGATTTTCCAAATCCAAATCTAAAAGTGTTAATATCATTCCCGGTTATTCCTGTATATTCATCGGTTCGTTTGAATACATTATGTAGTTTAAAAAATGACGCCGCAGGCTGCAGGCTCTGCTGAGGGAGCTACGACGACGTGAAGAATAAACAGGTTCTAAACGTTTTTGTTCTTCTCCTCGCTCCCCTGGAGAAAAGCTCACATGTTAATGTGAGCTCACGGGAAGCTGATAAAAGCCTGAAACACTTCTTATATGTCATGTGTGTTTGTTTTCTGAGCAACAAGCCTCTGTTACTCTTTTTTATTGGCTAGTATCTTAAAGGAGCAGATGTGTCCAAGTCTGCCTTCCTGTCTCACGTCTTCCATCTTTAACACGATTCTCACCTCTTTTATTTTGCTTTTCATCATGGACCTTATTCTCTTAACCTCCTCGTTCGTCTCGCCTTGTTCTCATCACAATCACAGCTTTCATTCATCAATAATTAATAAAGAGATGAATGAATGCCTGTGTTGTTCTCTTTCACAGCCATCACCACTCTCTCCTCTTTGCACATCTCATCTCGTTCTTCTTCCTTTACTTCCCTCTAAAGGAAACAGCATCCATATGGAGCTTTATGTATAGTCACCCTTTCTTAAAATCTCTCCCTCCCTGACTGACAGCTGGAGTGTGCAGCGGACTGATTGGTGGTGAAACATGTGATGCCTCCTCTGAAAGATAAAAGCTGCTGTAACTCTGCAGCCTATATGAAAGAGACATGCAATCCTTTAATACATGCAGGGCTCCGATTTCATGCATTACACATTTATACATTCACACGCACACAAACTCAGCCAGCTGAGGCGTACATATAAACCCATAGCCAACTGTGTGTGTGTGTGCGTGTGTGCGTGTGTGCGTGTGTGCGTGTGTGTGTGTGTGTGTGTGTGTGGGTCGCTGTGGTCACTCACTGAGTGTGGCGAGGTAATCATCTCAGTGCAGTGTCAGGTGTGTGTATGTGTGGCTCATTGACCCTGATTTGGACCAGGTGTGTTAAACCTAAATATTCCCTTGAGGCCGAGTCCACACGTAGGCAGTATTATTTTTAAATGGAATTCTTCAACCTCGATTTCAAAAATAATCCCATCCACACACGCTTAGTTCTCAAAAACATCCACGTCCACATGAAAACATAAAACGCACTGTAACGGCTGTCATGAGCGCGCCAAGTCAACAACGATGTCCATAACGTGCTAAAATATTCTTGCCATTCCTCCGTAATGACCATTCCTTTTTACAGAGTCATCCAATCAGGCGTCTCTGGTCGACATAGTGGGAGAGTAACTGTGTATGTATGTGTGAGCATGTAAAAAAATCCAGTTAGCAACGTTAGCACCAGCGCTAGTTTGGTTACATCTGCCATCGCACTAATTTCGTGTCAACAAAAATTGACAGCGCCGCACGATGACATCACACCCTGGTAGGAGTATTACTAAAGGAGAGTTTTCAGTGACCTACACACCATTTGTGTGCAGAAAAAAAGCTATGTTTTCAAAAATACCGGCCTTGAGTGGACGAGTCGCTGTGTGCTGACGCATTGTGTCACCGTCAGAGACAGTGAGAGCTTCTCTCTGTGTTTCTTGTGTCTGTTAGGAGTGTGTGATTCTGCATTAGCACCACTTGACTTGCTTTCTATTTGCAGCAGCTCTTAAAGTGTCATTTATTGGGGCTGCACATTTCTGACCCGGCCTTTTTGAGTTTCTTTATAAGATCGGGTCTGGTGGCCTTTGTGTCTCAGCTGTCTCAGTCACTTTCTTTGAATCTACTTTTTCATCAGCAGACGTGGTTTTATTTCTCCTTATTTGTTTTATCCTTCGTGGCAACTTTAAAGCCGACTTTATTGTCCCAGAGGGGAAATTTTCACCTGACGTAAAACTGGGCGCTTAGGAACACAGTTATGTTGTCCTTACACCCAACGACTTTTCAAGCTATTTTAAAAAGTCACAGACAAATTTCTAACTAAGTCTGACTGAAATCATGAGAGTGTTTCCAGAGTTGGGGCGCGCTCCTGTAATCTCAGCCGTTTGTAGTAAGGTGGTCAAAGAATCTGAACAGTTTCAAGGCTGTCTTTTTCTCGTCTTGGATTGATATATCCTTTTATAAGTCAAGAAGTCACAATTTATTACGCCCAACACTACTACTTAAAGTGTAACCTTGCCATCAAAAATATCTGCTGCATCTAATCTGTCCTCTTTATGCCCGACCTAAACGCCTATCTGCCAATATTCTAGTTTCACTCCATTCAATTAGAATTCAATTTGAAATGACCCTTGTGGCTCCATTAAGAGTTCATGTTTTAGATTGAGCTGTATTGAATAACTTCCTGCAATGTTAAGTGGCTACTTTTGCCAAACTGATAGCATTTTCCTGCAGCCGATCAAGGGAACCTTTTCAGAGAACAACCTCATTTTGAGTATTAAACATGGTGAAGAATAATTTTGCAAATATTTGGTTTCCACTGCATACAAATGTAATCTTCACGGCTCTGCACAGGCAAAAGTTGGAACAGAAAAAGGGTCAACTCTACTGCAGCCTCACCTTCCTTCTTGTAGAAGACCAGCTCGGTCTTGAACTCCCCTCTCTCGTCCAGAGCTCCTTGGATCTGAGCCGTTAGCTTGTCGCTCGTTTCCGGGCCGTACAGGAAGTGACACGCACAGCTCTTCTGCATGAGCTCAGCTCGGGCGTAACCCGTGAGCTCACAGAAGCCATCGGAGCAGTAGACGATGGGGTAGAGCGACTGCACCTGGGCGTTCCCCAGAACAAAGTTGCTGTCTGAAAGAAGAGAGAGAGAGAGGAACAAGAGAGTGATCAGTATGATCAATCAATCTAACTAAAGTTGTGACTTGAACCTGACCTAGAGGTGAATAAATCAACCCTGAAAGAGGATTGTGGTGAAAATTAAACCAATACAAATGATATACTTCAACATCTAAACTTCAATAAGGACAGAAACAACAACGTATCACACATCAGAACCAGAGGTTTGAGCTTGGTTAAAGGTAAATGGACTTGAGCTTGTATATTTATTTTCTAGTCTTCTGACTAAACAAATTGTTTTTACACCGCGGGTCACACCTACACATTCACACCCTGATGGTAGAGGCTGCTGTGTAAAGAGTCCATCAGAAGTAACTCATCCATTCATACACATTAATACACGGCTGGCCTCAAAGCAGCGGGAGCAACTTGGGGTTAAGAGTTTTGCCCAAGGACACATCGGACATGTTGCTGCAGGAGCTTGGGATCGAACCCCTGACGTTCCTGTTGAGACCGACTCTACCACTGAGTCACAGCCGCCTCCTTGCAAGTATAAACTGAGGTGAAATGCCAATGTTGCACTGTGTGTGATGGTTTAAACTGCTGGTGAAGAAAGGGGAAGTTTTCTTTAAAATTGAAAAACATGAAAAGTGATTTCCTGTCATTTTTTCCCCTTTGTTTCCCTTCATATATGACACATTTGTTGACGAAACAAGTTAGAAAAAGGAGACATTTACACGCTCATCACGTAGGTGCAAGTGAGAGAGACTCCTGTAAACACAGCTGCTGGTTTGCCGCAGCAGATCAGAATCAAGGATTGGTTGGACGACGTGAACACGGTCAAGATTTATCTTCTATCACAAAATACATCGAGGTTCAAGAAGTCATGGCAGTCCTCCTGCATTAACTGTTTCATGTAGAGGCTGCTCTCTTTACCTGCTTTATAAACACAACTAAATCCACAGGTCTTGATCGGTGATGTGTGTGTTTTTGTTTGTGCTGTGTGTGTGTTTGAGGGGGATCATTTCAGCCAGTGCATATTCAACTAATAGCCTCGGGCATGTAGATGTGGGAACACTCTAAAATGGACTATTTATTACCCTTTGCACTGGCGTTCTCATTGATCCATCAATCTGAAGGCCCTCGAGACCCCATGTTTAATATTTAATGGCTGACGTGTGAGGTGTGTGTGTGTGTGTGTGTGTGTGTGAGAGAGAGACAGCTTATAATCAAGTGTTAGACAAATCAGTGAGAAAAGTGGGAAAGGAAACATTTTTTCTGTGACTAAATAAGAACAAAATGGATGGATGTGTGCGTCTATCAGTGCAGGAAAACATGTTTGTGTGTATTTATTTTAGACTATGAGGAGTCAATCACGACACTAAATAATCCCTCTCATTAGCTAATTAGTCCTGTAAGTCTGACATCCACACACATCCTCGCGCCTGCTCTCCCTGGAGAGTGAGCGAGCGGCAGAGCTTTGTGTGTGACACCAACAAAAACACAAAACAGGAAAAAGGAGAGCCCCTTCTTCTGATTCCTCTGCGGGTCGTCATGCTTCCTCTCAGTTCACCCTGAGGGAAACTCTGATGTCATCCACTCCTGTGAGCCTGGAGATGCTCCCAGGCAGGAGACATCAGGCTTAGAGACAAAAGCTCCTGAAGGCTGCACACAGTAATTACAAACAACAACAAAAGTAACATGCTGTCTCAACCCAAAGTTTATACCAGGCCACCAGTGGGAAACCAGTCAATTCTCTGCTCACGTAATGAAGCTGCTTCATCTTTTTTGTGCTCGTCAGTATCTTGTTTCCCGTCCGCTCTACGATACTGTGAGTATGTCCAATTACACAAAAAAATTGATGGTGGACTCTGTGGCTTTGACAGCAATCCTGGATTTCCGCAACGTCTTTTGTTACACGATGTCCTGTCTCCTGAAAACCTTGTTATCTGAATGTGAAACTAAACAGTGGCCAGGATTACTGAAACAAAGGAACATGACATCCAGTGTGACTGTGAGGCATTATAGGGACTTGTTTTGGGTACCCAAAGGAAGTTGGTCTGATTGCTAGAGAGGCAATTCCCTGAGAAAGACACTGAACCCCCCAACAGCTCAGGAGCACTCCCTGTGAGCAGCCCCACTCTGACATCCATCCGTCCATTATCTTTACCGCTTTTTCGGTTCCGGGTTGTGGGGGGCTGGAACCGATCTCAGCTGTTATTGGCCGAGAGGCGGGGTCACACCCTGGACTGGTTGCCAGACATACAGAAACAGACGCACTCACATTCACACCTACGGACAATTTAGAGTCACCAGTCTTTGGACTGTGGGAGGAAGCCGGAGTACCCGGAGAGAACCCACACATGCACGGCGAGAATATGCAAACTCCACACAGAGAGGCTCCTGTCAGACGGGGATTCAAACCAGGAACCTCCCTGTTGTGATGCAACAGCGCTAACTACTGAAACACCGCACAGCCCCCCCACTCTGACAGCTCTCCATTTACTCAATTTCAAAGGTCCTGGTTGTGCATGTGTGTAAGGACCTGTGCGTTTACACACCACTGGGATTAAAACAAAAATATGACAATGCGCTGTATGTAACAACAGAATGAGATACATCGGGCTTCATCTACACAGAATTTTGCATAAATGTTGGGGGAATAACTTAGTGTGATAGCAACTAGAGAACAAAGGTTGCTTTGGTTCACCACGTTTAAAACGACAGCTTTCTGAAATGATCTATTTGATTTTGATTCTGTCTTCTTTGTCTAAATTTCTGCTGCCATGGAAGACGTTCATGGTCGTCTTGTCTTAATGAACCCTCGGATGCATTTAGATTCCCATGTTCCTGTCTCCACCCTCCTGTCACTGTCAGCCCTCACCTCTATCTGTGTAACAGGTGTGGTTGTTTAACACAGGTTCAACCTCATCTCCTGTGATCGTTCTTGTCAGTCCTGCTCGGTCTCATTCTGCTGCTGTCTTCCCGTCTTCTTCGACTTTTCTGTGTCAGTTTGCTTTAATGAATCTCTCTCAGTTCGGTCACTTTCTGTGAGTTCAAAGAAGGCCGCCTGCTACTATAGTAACAAGTAAAAAGTGCTGGATCTTACCTTGTGTTACCTTTGTTCTGCCCTCTGAGTCTGCCTTCTCACCGTAAACAATAGGCCATGGAGCGAGAAAGCCAGAGACACCCAAGCCCTTCCAGAGAGGGGCTGTGGTCAGACACAGCTCATTTACATTTAAAGGTACAGACACAGAAACAGCCTGTTCTGAGCAGGGCTGAAATAGAGGGGTTTATAGACATGATCAAATACAGGATCAGAGTGGATTTAGAACAAGAAACTTCACAAACATGTTTTGAGGAGCTCTGAGACTTATTTACACTGGTTGAAGAGGCGGAGAATATGAGACTTTTAAAGACTGGTAAAATAACTCCCATTACTGAATCTGACTCTAACCTGTTTAATGTCAGTTTATTAAGGAAATCCGAGCACACCTGCTCCTAACATTACCTGACCATTAAAAGGCCCATAATCCTGTATTATTGGTACCTTTGAAATGCTTCTAACAGCCGGTCAAACAGCACTTATCAACACATAGGTTGAACCCTGCATACCAGTAATCATGTATAAGTATGTCTTCAGCACAGATATATAGTGGCACATCATTCATATACTTAGGACTAACATTTGCTTGAGAATAGCAAAGCGAGGATGTGTCGTGAGGGCCGTCAAAGCATGAACTAAAATCATTCACTTTAGCTAAACAGATTCAGATTATGACTCTGCGATCATCCATTGAAACATATCTATTTATTAGATAAGTCACATTTCTTATTAAAGTTGTCAACATCTGGTATCTGCATTGAGAAGTGATACCCACTGACCTGTGGGTTCTTCAGATTCTCATCTATTCAAGGGCTTGTTTCATCTTAATTGACTTTGGTTTGATTTGGGTTCAACAAGTTCATCCAGAGTAGATTTTTCAGAGGGATCGCAGAATGGAAACAACACAGAGGAAGAGCTCCTTTGCTCTTGCCCAATAGAACAGAGGAAGGCAGAGGAAAGTCAAGCACCAGAGGGACAGAAAGAATTGGATTTATTTGCTGCCTTTTCTGTTTCCTGAGCAACAGCAGGAGTCTGTGCTGAAATCAGAACATTGAGATCAAGTCGAGTGAGTCATTCATACCACTTAACTGTGCACGTCATGATAAGACCAATACAATTCAACACAGATTGCAACAACCTTGGCATACTTGACCATAAACTTAAGAGGCACCTTTAGAGTGACCTTGTCAGCAACGAGAATGCTGTTTTTAAAGAAATCCCTATAACACTTTATAGAGCTCAGTGACTGCCCACTTTTTTAGCAGCTATGCTTCTAGAATTAATTTCTCCCGATCGCAGCGAGAAGGTTCCTGGTTCGAATCCCTGTCAGATATTCAAGGTACGCCTGCTTCCTCCCATTGTCCAAAGACATGCTCGTTAGGTTGATTGGTGACTCTAAATTGTCCATAGGTGTGATTGTGAGCGTGGCTGGTTGTCTGTCCTATATGTCAGCCCTGTGATTGGCTTGCGACCAGCCAAGGTGTAACCCGCCTCTTGCCCAATGACAGCTGGGATCGACTCCAGCCTCCAGCGACCCCGAAAAGCAGTATGGATAATGGATGGATGGAAATCCTTATATCACTATTTTTAATCCTGGAGCAAGCATGGTGCTACACCGGGGCTAGGGGGCGCTATAGCCCCATCACAAATCTGTCTAGCCCCGGTTAAGCCCCCTCAGGTATGTCTGCTATTGTTCTCTTTTTTCAGCAATGTTAAAATGGCTATTACTTTTACTGCACTGATGCAAATGTTCTGTTCCTGTTCAAAATGCTCAGGACTCACTGTGCTGCTCCTTCGATTGTTTCGCCTGTACTGTATCTAACATCCTATGTGCCATGTTTACAAATGACATGCTAATTGCTGCCATGTGCACGTGTGGTTTCCTGTACATCCTGCACGCACATGTCTC